ACAAAACCACTACAGCTTCTAAGCATATTAGGATTAGATTCCTGGTTGTCAGAGAGATGGTGGAGAATGGAGAGATTCTTGTTGAGCATATTTTCATTGAGAGAATGCTTGCTAACCCCCTAGCTAAAGGACTAAGATCCGTGGTATTTATGAAGCATGTTAAAAATATGGGCATTGTAAGATCTTTTGATGTATTTTGTTAGTGGGAGTTGTTATCTTTATTATGTTTTATTTTATTTTATTGCATTGAATTTGTGTCATTTGTTTTGGTGATGTTCGTGTTGACATTCTATATCATTAATGCAATAATGCAATTTTGTACTTTGCCTCGAGATGTTGTATTTCTTTTCAGGGAATGATGTTTCATGAGAAACATATTAATGATCTCTTTGGGAGGTTAGTTGTGTTTTGTTGGGAGTACACAATGTAGGATCCATGCACAGTAGCTAATAGATTATGCTATGTGAAGTGTATATACACTTGCACACTTGTGTTATGATCATGCTAACAAAGTTGTTAGTTATATGGTCATTGGTGAACTAAATTTTGAATATTTTATTTTTGCTTATGGCTCTTGGCTAATAATTTTGTTAGTAGTATTGGTCATGTTTTGTGGGGATTATATTCAGGTTGTTTTGTGGCCAGAATTGTTCAACTCGAGAGTCATTTTTGAAATGAATTTAAAAAATTCGTAAAACCCAATCAATATTGTCCAAGTGGGAGAATGTTAGAATTTTCTTTATATTTGGACTACTATTGATTGATGTAATTTTAATTTATTAAAATGGGTTGAATGTATGACTTGATATGTTATTCTATGTTCCTATTTTGAGTTTTGGGAATCACCATGTGTACGTATAATTACTGGACTGAGTCTAGTATGTGAGTATGCTGAGTAGTATGTGTAGAGCTTAATAGGCCTAATATCCATGATGGATGGAAATACCTATGTTTTTTTTTATTTAAAAGGAGGCAGGATCCCCACTTGACTCTAGAGAAAATATATGCTCTCTGATGACTCACGGTTCCATCAAGGGGTTAATTTGGAAAGAAGGGGAGATCAAGTGGAAGAGTCTGTTCTTGACGTATACACGCGTGTGCATTTTGTGATACCAAAGGAGAGTTGTAAAAGATGTCTTCAAAAGGTATGCAATTTACCTTTTACATAAATAATATTTAGGTGTTCTAAATTCTAGTATTGATCCAAATAATCTTATAAGTTAAACTAATTAGAGCAAATTGTAAGACTTGACCTATTTTAAAATGAAACTAGTAACTCACTAGTTTATTGTATTGGATAGGTTTAGTTTTACAAATTGAAAGATCTCTTTTGCTAAAACAATAACTATGACAAGTATATAAATAGAGCTTAGAAGGATGGTGGAGTTAACAGGTAAGAGTCAATTGAAGCAACCCCAAGTCAATTAGCACTTATTAGTGTTGGTCTATCCCAATACAAGAATGTTGAAATTCCTAATTAACAACTTCTACTCCATGATTTATTATGTTAAAGGCCAAAAGATGGAAACTAGTGGCCTAACAATTGATTGAATTTTTGTTGTTGATGAAACATAACTATAACCATAGTTGGAGACGTTTAAGAAAAATCAAGGGTGATTGTTAGTTAATTTTGGTAAGATCTAGATCTAAAAACTTGAAATGATATAAATTAATCACATTAAAAACTAAATAATTGTTTATTACCATTCATTTCATTGAGTTTGACGAGTCATAGGTTGCAGAATTGCTAGTGTTTTAGTTAGGTTTAAGTGAGTTTAGGTATTTTTCATAATAAACATGATTGTATGCATCCATAATCATTCTCAAACACTCCTTATGCCATCATTCTCAAAAATAAATAATAAAAAAAAGCTAATTGTCAAGCTAACGTTGCACAATTATAACATACATGATTCCAGTTAAAATCACAACTTCATGATACTGCCAACTGAAGTCACCACTCATAAGATTGTTCTCATCCTTTCACATTTACGCATGCACTCCAATCACTAACGTATTAGGAGCAAGTAAAATAAGAAAAAAAAAGGTTATGAGAAGTGACTAGCACATTGATTTCAAAGAGAGGAGAGTGTGAGAAACTGAGAGTTAGAGACTTGATAAATAGAAGATTAAATGAAAGAAAAAAGAATGAGAGAAAATGAAAAGTTCCATGCTCACTTGCTTATACCCCATTTATAACTAAAAAAATATAATATTTTGTTACTTAACTCATTTTTTATTTATTCTATTTGGTTTGTTTGCTTGTTAGTCAATAATGAGTTATTCATCAACCTTAGATAAATTTGTGTATATATTTATATTGGGTCAACTATTATAATTGAGTGTGTTACAATTTTTTTTAATGAGATGAATTATTTTTTTATGGTCACCAATGAAGGAAATAAGCCCATTATACTAACAAAATAAAGGATTGAGCTCACATGCACATGAGCACCAATTATATAATTTCTTGTTAATTATCACACATTACTTATATCAACGTTATATAATTCACATTACTTAAATTAATTCACAATCTTTCATTTCTTATAACTAATGCAATAATTTTTAAAAATATTTTTGCACTCTAAATTTTGCTCTCAACCTTTTAAAATTGTCAAACTACAGAGACTTAGTGAAAATATTTGCAACTTAGTTTTGAGTTTTTACATAAATCTGCTCTAATTCTTTTTTGGCAATACATTAGTTAGTAAAATTATATATTATTTTTATATGCTTACTTTGTTCATGAAACATGAATTCTTAGTAAGCTCTTTGCAAATTTATTATCAATATGAATTTTGTACTTACCTTTTTTTTTTTTTTACATTCAGTAATAAAATGATATTTTGTATCTCTATACTAACTTCGTTCATGAAACACTAGATTCTTGGCATAGTTTTATTCAAATTTATTATCAACATGGATTATTGTACTCACCCTTGGTTCAAATAATATTTCTCCAACAATCTTATAAACCATATAATGTGACATTTGTAAGAGGATGTAGCCACTCACTTAGCTTCACAAGTAGAAAAGAGTGAGAATAATTTTTTTTTTTTTAGAATTTTATGTAAAGGCACACACCCATGAAAAACTCAAATGTAGTAGTGTTTTTTTTATATAATTAATATCACTAGCAAAATTACTAAGCTTAAAATTATTAGAAGAAGAATAAAATAATCCAAAATCAATTATAATTTTTAGATAATAAATAATTCACTTTTACATCTTTTAAGTAAGTGAAGGGAAAAATTTTCATTCAGTAACACAATTTCAAATATATACAAAATATCATGTCTTGTATTTGTTAAGTTCTCATTAGGCTCCTAGAGAATATAAGATTTGTCTGCTCTTCATCTTTAAATCTTAACAAATTTAACCCACCTTCTACAAGTGTATTTATGGTGTTGCATTTAAATATTTTAAATTTCAATATTCTTTTTGCATTTCTCTGTCTTATGAGATGTTATTCTCCATTTTTCTCCAGCTTCTAATCCTAAGTAAAATGATATAAGCTCTATATCTAAATCTCAATTCACAAGACATGACTATCTATACTTTTTCTCAACATTTCTTATATAATTTTCTTTCTCAATATTTCTCATTTTATTTTTCACATCCTGTTCATTGATCAACATGTCATAATATATAAGTTATGATTTATATAAATCTATGTATTACAATACATATATTATAAGTACACCTTTAGATGCATTACAATACTTGTATAATAATCACACCTATCAGTTAGTTATAACTCACATATTATAATCACTCATCTCATAATTCCACAATCATGTGATATTATCTCCTTTATACATAATATTCTTTCAAGATCAGTCAAACACTTTATAAAATCTTTAAATCTTAGTCAGTTTGTCCCTGATCACCCATATCGCATCATGATTTTGCTTGGTCTTTGGCAGATCGGACACAAAGTTTATAAAGATGTCATCTCACTTCCACTCAGGAATTTCTAGTGCTTGTAACTCTCCTAACATGCGTTGGTGTTCTGTCTTTGACTTTTTGCAAGTCAGACATTTTGCCACATACTCTACTACTACCTTCTTCATCCCATGCCACCAAAAGTTCTTTCGCATATCTTGGTACATCTTGGTTGCTCTCAGGTGGATACTCAGTTTATTTTTATGGGCTTCTCCCAAAATCATCTGTTTCCACTCTTCATTTTGAGGGATATACACTCTGTCTTTGAATTTTATTAGCCCATTTGAATCACGATGAAATTTCAAGCTCTTGCCTTCATCCTTCTAGCGCATCATCTCTTGCAAATAAAGATCTTCTTGTTGAATAGACCGAACTTGAGCCAAGAAATCATTACTGATCTTTAAAGTCCCAAGATATAGATTATTGGGTCGTAACTCCACTGCTAAGTTCAAATCTCTGAATTCTTCAATCATCTTCCATTCCTTCACCATCATGGTCGAGATGTGGATGGACTTTATACTTAACGCGTCTACAACCACGTTCGCTTTTCCCAGATGGTAGAATAATGTGAAGTCGTAGTCTTTTAGGAATTCTATCCACCTCCATTGTCGCATGTTCATCTCTTTCTAGTTGAATAGGTACTTCAACTTTTTGTGATCGCTAAAGACTTCGAATCGTGTTCCCAAGAGATAGTGTTTCTAGATCTTTAGTGCAAAGACCACTGCTGCTAATTCTAAACCATGCGTGGGATAATTGACTTTGTGAAGTTGCAATTGCCTAGACGCATACGCCACTACTCTCTCATCTTGCATTAAGACACATCCAAGACCTTATCTTGATGCATCGCAGTATACTTCAAACTTTTGTTCAGGATCTAGTAGAATCAACATAGGTGCTGACATTAATTTCTCTTTCAACTTCTGGAAACGTGCCTCACATTCCTCATTCTAGTCAAAATCCTTCCTTATTTGCTTTAGTTTCGTCAAAGGTAAAGCTATCTTAGAAAATCCCTCAATGAACTTTCTATAATAGCTGGCCAATCCTAAGAAACTTCAAACTTCCATCAGAGTCGTCGGTTTGGACCATTGAGACACTACTTCAACTTTAGCTGGATCAACCATGATTCCTTCGCATGATACTACATGTCCCAGAAATTGTATTTGCGATAACCAGAATTTGTATTTTGAAAACTTTGCGTATAACTGTCGTTTGCTCAGAATCTGCAAGACAATTCTCAAATGCTCAGCATGTTCTTCATGGCTCTTCAAGTAGATCAAGATATCATCTATGAATACCACTACGAACTGGTCTTGATATTGATGGAAGATTCGATTCATGTAATCCATGAATACTGCTAGAGCGTTAGTCACACCAAATGGCATAACTAAATACTCATAATGTCCGTGACGAGTTCTAAACACGGTCTTTGGAATATCCCCATTCTTAACCCGAATTTGATGGTAACCAGATCGTAGATCAATCTTTGAGAATACTGAGGCTCCTCACAGTTGATCCATCAAATCATCAATTCTGGAAAGGAGATACTTATCTTGATTGTTACTTTGTTCAATTGACAGTAGTCTACACACATTCTAATACTTCCATCATTCTTCTTTACTAAGAGTACATGAGCTCCCCATGGCAATACGCTCGGTCTCACAAATTGTCTTTGCAACAAGTCCTCAGCTTATTTCTTTACTTCGGTTAACTTAATTGGCGACATACGATAAGGTGCAATGGAGACTGGGCTTGCTCTTGGCATGAGGTCGATCGTAAATTCAATCTTTCTTTCAGGTGGCAGTTTGGTTACATCCTCTGGAAAGACTTCTAAGAATTCATTCACCAGTGGTATGTGCTCCACCTTCACACTTCTTTCTGCCTCAGCAGAGAACAATATTATAAAAGTGATTTTAGGATCTCCCAGTACATTAGCACCAAAGATTAGTGTTTTTTCTTTACAATCAAGAAGGACGTGATTAGACGACAACCAATCCATTCCTAATACAATGTCAAGCTGAGAAAGGGGTAGGAAAATCAAATCCACTAAGAAATTCCTACCATGAATCATCACAGAACAACCCAAACATATGTATGAGGTTATTAGAGGCTTATCTGTAGGGGTGGATACTACAATATCATATGGAAGAGCAGAGATAGGAAATTCAAGGCAATGCACATAATCCAAGGAAATGAAAGAATGCGTAGCACCAAAATAAAAAATAACATCAATGAGTTTGTCTTTTAGGATGCATTTACCTCGGATAAGATCATCAAATTTTACTGCTTCAGAGCCAGTCATGGCAAACACTTTGCCTTGGACATTGGACTTTGATCCACTACTGCTCTTAGGTGCTAGCTTGTTGCTCCCACTGACGCTTCTGCTCTTTTGAGGTGCAAACCAACAAGCACTAGTTGGATGCCCCATCTTTCCATAGTGACTACATGCGGCAGTTAGCTGTTGGCAGTTTCAGATCATATGAGGTCCCTCTTATTGAAAGCACTTCAATGGTTCTCAAGGGATATTGGAGTTGTAACTACCACCTTTGTGAGGTGCCATCTCGCTTGCCTGAGATTGAGTTAGGCTTGAATAGGGTCTCATATGAAATCTTAAGGGCCTTTTGTCTTGCCTCACCGGTCCTCCAACCTAACTGTCCATAGACTTTTCTTTTGCGTTGGCTTCATAAATTCGACATTTGCTTACCAAGGTAGGGAGGTCCGTCACTTGAAATACACTCATTGCAGTGCAGATGTCAGCTCTTAACCCATTTTCAAATTGAGCGCATAAATCCTCCTTGCTGCTTTCATGCTGGAAGTGGGGCCAATATGTCATTAACTCATGAAATTTGGCCGCATATTCCCCTATCGACATAACTCCTTGCTTCAGCTCCAAGAATTCCCCCGCCTTCTGTTTCTGCAAGTCTTTGGGGAAGTAGTTTCCTAGAAAACAAGCCTTGAACGCCTCCCAGGAGATATACCCCTCGCGTTTGGTTGGCGAACTCCACCAGTCTTCAGCTTCTCCACTTAACATGTAAGTGGCATAGCCCACTTTGTGATCTTCACGACAGCCCATTGCATTAAAGATCTTCTTTGTATCAGCGATCCACCTCTAGGCTACTTCTAGATCAAATTTTTCGTCAAATCTTAGAGGGTTGTGTTTCGTAAAGGACAATAGTCCTTGGTACTTTGCTGACTCAGCGTCCTGATTCTGTACTAGAGCTTCTAGTACTTAAGTCATGTGGTTCAGGATTTCACTTGTAACTCCTGGGGGTCTACATCTACTAGCTATGATTCTATATTGAAAGAGGTTAATCAACTTATAAGCAACCATTATTCGCGCCGGTGCACATAACAATCAAGGTAAACAAATCACACACATTCCTATTTGAAAAACCAAACAGGCTATTCTAACAATCAATGAACTCATATTCTTGTTAAAGTAAGAATATAAGAACACATAGCATAGACAACTAGTCCCATACCCTAGTCCGGTTTGGAAGAACTACTTTGATACCAAATTGTAACATCCTTATTTTATTCAAAATGATAAGAAAATAATTTCATAATTAAAAGGAAATAATTAATTTAAATCTATGGCCAGTTGAGTATAATATGTGGAATTATAAAACATTTCATTTATTTTGCTCGAACTTATAAAAATTTAGAGAACGAATCCATGGAAGTAAAACAAATTAAAAAGAAAACGTGAAATAACATTTATAGATATATTGTCCTAAAGAGTTTACAGTGAGTTGACCTTAGCAAAATATATATCAGGACTCTTTTATAACATTTACAAAGTATAAAATATAACAAGTCCTAATGAGTAGCCTATCCACCAAAAGACTGAAGAGATACTAGTCATCCCCATGCCATCCCTCTATTATTGCGATATCATCAGAGTCGAGATTATCATCCGATCTGAGATATAGATCACCTGAGTCTCTAGAAACCTGTGTACCAGTAATCTGCTTAAACGTCCATCTAAATGGTTTTTTGAGATGGTTGTGGTCATGATATGTAAACAAATAGGTCAAGGTTGCTAGGGTTCTCATAGTACTAGGGAATATATATACACAGAGGGTATGATGTATTCTACTTATAGGGAAATCAAAAGGAACACTATAGGCTAATTCCATTTCCATCATAATAATACCCCTAGGCACATCATTAACATGTACAACAATTCTAAAGTAACATAATCTCTTATATTTATTAAATACATAGTTAAGTCTATTATGTACATAACTATTTATAAGCCTAATTCTCTCTCTAGGTGCTATCATCTGGTTCCCTGAAAGATTTATGTAAAGATGAGTCTATTCATATTACCAACCATACATTCACATAGCAAAATAAAGGTAATACAACAATTAATTATATCATAAAATTATACTCATATGCATGCAAAAATCTTTAAATATTCAACTTATTCCTCTTCATCTCTCTTTTAATACTCAGAGTTCTTGTTTCACTTTCACTACCCCTTGGATCCCTTGAGGTCTTCCTTAGCATAGATAGTCGCTGGATAGCCGTAGCTACACAGATATGACGTGTGCCGACCTGGCCCCTTTTATCAAAAGCATGGTCAAGAGTATTAGTTAGGAAATGAGTGTGAGGCCTATGGTGCTCTTACTCTCATTTGTTTTGCGCAATTCAAGAGGAGCATCCACCACTCGCATTTTTCCAAGATTTATCAATCGTCTTCATCTTCTTCACTCCTAGTGTACCCTTAAACTATCCATATTTATCCTTATCATATTCCTTTCTCATTTCATTTCTCTTTATCAGTATTTCCCATTTCATCTCTATATTTTTCATTGTCTGTTTACTAACATATTATTCATATTTTTATTTATCTAATTTACTCTAGTTTTATTATTACATCATATATCATTCAATCATTGCTGAGAGTTAGTCCTTCAGACTCAGTCCACCATATACATGCATGTACACTTAAAATAAAGATCATACACATCATCAAACACCACAAAACATGCTTCAAACATAACAAAAACATGTTCTCACCCATGATTCACCACAACATTTTCATGAACACAAGCAAACCACTTTCTTAGTAACAAGATACAGCTCTCCTTACCTTCAAATGGAAGTTTAGTAAATGATTTTTGAAGATTCTTGCTTAAAACATGAGGTTCTTTCTAAATATCACAAGAGATCTCATTAGAGAAGGAGAATCAAGAATATAACCAAAGGAATGGAGAACCAAGCTTCAAGAACTTACCAAGAAGCAAGGAAAGTGAACTCTCAAGCTTGGATTGGAGAAAGGTTGAGATCTTTCAGATTTTTCTGAGAAAAAGAGGAGAGAGGTTAGATGGAACGTAGAAGGTCGTAACTTGAATTATTCTCAACTTGGAAACCCTTAAATATCCCTCAACTCGCAACATTCTCGCTGCAACAAGCTAATTCTCGCTACAACGAGCGATTCTCGCTACAGTGAAAAAACTAGACAAAATTGCACTTTACTGTCTGTCATTCTAGCTACAGTGAGAGCTCCTCGCTACAGCGAGAAGATCCTTGGTAGAGCAGGAGAGTATTAGAATGCCTGATTCTGGATGCTTATTTCTTGCTATAGTGAGATACATCTTGCTACAGCTAAAAATCCTGCAACTTAAACATTTAAAACTCTCATAATTTCAAGCAACATGCATTAAAAGCTTATACCAAATACAAAATTAATAAATAATAAAATAGGGGTGTTACACACTTAAATCAATAATATAAATTCATCCATTTTGACATACATTAGCTATCAACAACATCTATAGTTATTGTATCATACTAATTTAACATAGAGAATCATTAAACAATGTCACACCATGCAATCAATATAATGTGCCGAAGGTTGGACGTTTTCGGACTTAGCCCATGCATACAACTTAATATATGTACTTTTTAGTATTAATAAAATCATTTGATCCTAAAGTTTGACATCTTCTAATACTTATATCATGCAGAATAATATTTTAATATTAATCATACACATATAATGGTGGAAAAATCTTAAACTCATCAGAAATTTAGTTACTCATAATCTTTACTACTTTGTTTAGAAAATTTCTAAAATAAGTTATCATTTTCTCATGCCCAAAATTCAATTCTTAGTACTAGAATCTTAATAATAAATAGGGTTCTATTACCCAAAACGAGAATACTGGAGTTAGAGTTTAAAACAATATTTTCTCTCCAAAAATTCTTTTTAATACTACAATTTCAAAGAAATTTTATAACTCTGTTATTTAGAATCAAGTAGTTTGAGTTTTCTAATTTAAATTACATAAAGAAGACTGAGGGTTCGAGATCAACTTTCTTTACCTAAAAATGGATCTCTCAAGTTGAGTTTTCTTAGAGATTCAATGGAGACAGTATCCTAATGGAGGATATTGTCTTAAGGGTTAAGGTTTCCTTGAGTACCACAAAGCATAAAACTTTAGATCAGAGAAAATTGAGAAAAAGGAATGAACTTGGAGAACCAAACTCCAAGACCCTTACTTGAATCTGAATGGAATAGACGTTCGAGCTCAAATCTGGAACAGGTTAGAGATTCGAAAGAGTTTTCTTTGAGAAGAAAATGTGAGAGAATAGAGAGAAACAAGCAAAGAAGGTTGTTTGAGGAGAATATTGAAAGTTCCAGCACTGAGGTCCTTTAAATACCCCTCCAGATTTGTACATTCTCGCTTGAGTGAGCCCACTCTTGCCTGAGCGAGAAAACCAAACAGTGGAGCTACTCAAGTTTTTGCTATTCTTGCTTGAGCGGAAACAATCTCGCTTGAGCGAGAGGCAACCTTACTTGAGTGAGTTCCATCTCGCCTGAGTGAGAATGGGTCCAGAGAGCTCCTTGTTTTTCTTGTAGTTTCGCTTGAGCGAGTTACATCTCACTTGGGGGAATTGCTTCTCGCTTGAGCGAGACCCTTTCTCACCTAGATGAGAGGACAGTTGGGGCAACTTTATCCTTTCTCGCTTTAGCGAGATTCATCTTGCTTGAGCGAGAAAGCTCTAGATCTTGAGAATTACACAGGTGATCATTTATTCCATTATCTGGATAATATAAACATTTGTCATCGTAAGTTACGACAATTAAAATATTCAACATTAGATTTATTATAATTCTTTTCATTTTTTTTCTAATAAAATTGTCTCTTTTTATTCCTTTTCCATGACTTCTAGTGAATTAATGACTCTCTTCACTATTGTCAAAATTATTACAATTTCCTCTTCCTTTGTATGACCATGTCCTCTTTGACATTCATGACCATCCTCGTTGTTCAGAGGACAAGTGTACCCTTCGAAAAGTAATAAGGAGTTTTTAAATTAAATTCTCGAAATATCGTTCCACAAGGATTAATTTTCAATTACTAAGAATTTTCTAATTCAATTGTTTAATCTTCAAAGATATGGGATTAATTAAAATAATTTATAAAATCAATTTAAAAAGTAGAATAAAGAACACAATGAACATCTTGGTTGAACTTATCGGAGAGGAACCTAAGGCATATGGGTTTACTTATTCAATCCTTTATATTATTCTTCTGTTTAACTCTAAATTTGATTTTCTTGTGATTACCAATCATTCATACAAATACTATAAAATATCCAATGGTCATGCTATATTATTATTCTTTTCTCTAAATTATGATCCTCAGTGGTTATGCAAGACATAAATTTAAGGAAGCATAAGGAACCTATGAACTTGTTAATTTAATAATGATTGAAAGAGAAAGATTGGTTTGGTCCACCTAATCCTTTGTCTCATTTTATCCTATAGATCCATTAACTAATCGAGGCACAGTCGCCTGATGATATAATTAATTAGGATTAAGAAGGAAGCGTAATAGGATAAAATCTAATCATGAACGGAAACCAAATTTAGATTTAAACATAAAAATCTCATGAATTCATGTACAAGAGTTCTCATAGCCCTAGCTATGGATTTAGTTAATCAAGCTAAAGGAAAGAGCTTAAATAATCATAAACAAAGCCATAAAGAAAAGTAAACTAGAAAGAGATGAGTTTTCGGTCTTCAAGTACGATCGTCGAAGCTCTAAGTCCCATCAAGAGTATGTCAGCGACCTCGTGCAAGAGAGACAATATGAAAAGGTGTATCGAAGAGCCAAAGAAAAAATGTAAAATGGTGTTCAGTAGGATCCAGAGGTCTTTTTTTATAGGGTTTGAAAATCCTAAAAGCTCTTCATAATCTATAAAACTTTAATTTTTCATCAATTTGGGTTCAAAATGCACCCAAAATCTACTTGTGACCTCTTCATACTAAACTGTACAATTAACATATAAATCAGTGTAAAATTTAAATAAAATAAAAATCAAACATAAATATATGGGCTGTACAAGAGAGTTTAAATACAAACTTATCACTCTTCCCTATTGATTTCTTTCTCCTTCATTTTCTTTTAGAGTTTTAGAGAAATTTTGACTTTATAGACTTGTTTCAAAGGCTTTTTCTTATCTTCTCTTAAATCTTACTTCATAAGTTTCTTTTGAAGTAAACCCATATCAATTGGTCCATAGATATTAAGTCTAAATCTTTTAAGTCTTCAATATCATAAATCGCATAATCAAAATTTGTGGTCAAGGAGTAAATGATCTTTTCAACTACATGAACATTTTCTACTTTTTCCTCACATCGCTTCTTCATTTAGTTTACAACAACCATCACTTTATTACCAAAATATAAAATAAGCTCATATTCATTCATATATAAATATTCAAACTCTACTTGTAGAGTTTGTAAATGCACATTCTTAACCATGTCAACCCATTTAAGGTTGGTCTTTCAAATCTTCCAATCTTTTTTAGAGGTGGTTGTATCAAACACTACCTCAAAGATGACTTTATCTACCCCTTCATTAAAGGATCCTTCTTAGTTTGTGATAAAATAGTCTTAACTTGAGATTTAACACAACCTTTATCTACAATATTTTGAACATCTTGAGAACTTAGTAAGGACTTCATAGGTTGACACCTATTATCATAATTTTCTCTAATAAGAAGATGTGAAAATTGAAACATATTTAGGCCATTATTTGTCATCTCTCAATTATCAAATTATTTCTCTCAACTCTTATCTACAATCTTTCAAACATCTTAGAATCTAGTAAGGACTCCATAGGTTGACACCTATTATGATATTTTTCTCTAGTAAGATGTGGAAATTGAAATATATTTAAGTCATTGCTTGTCATCTCTCAACTATCAAAGCATTTCTCTCAACTCATAAGATGTTTCTTTTAACTCCCAAGATCAAACACTAGCTCATGGTATCACTTTTTTATTTGAAGTAGAAAGAGAACAATAATAATAAAAAAATAAAGATTCTATTATTTGACATACATAAACATAAGTATGGTTGTACTATGTATAATAGTTGTAGAATGACCCTTAACTTATATCAAATAATTACTTTATTGTATCACTAAATGTCAAGTGGTTACAAATAAAAAAAATTATAATTCTTAGCTCTCACCATCTAACAATTTTTCATGGCTAATAATTCATGTAAAATTTTATTTTTTAATTATTATTTCTAATAGAATAACTTAAACTTTTCTTTGACTTTATGTTTAAAATGTGAAAAAGACATACAAAAATAATATAGACTGGTCTTAAATTGAGTAAACTATAGTTGGTTATTATCATTAAGTTGAAGAAGCCTCTCAACTTGAGCACACATGTTAAGTTGGTTCGTAACATGTTGTACTTCGTATTCCTTTTCAAGTTTCTGTATCTCATGTTAGTATGAAAGGTGGTGAGAAGATTAAATAGATAACTATCAGGCTGAAAAATATAAAAATGATAAAAAATAAAATAAAATAAAATAATTGAGAAAGAGAAAGAATTTGAAAATTAGATAATAGAATAATGGCTAAAAATGTGATAAAAAAGAGAAGGAAATTAAAAACAACAAAACTAGTAAATTTATATTAATACTATAATATATTATTAAATTAAAAATAACTTTGTAGTATTTAAATATAATATATATATATAAAAGAATGATGGATATTTTTGAAACTGGAGCCCGGCAAATGCACTGGTTACTTTACCTTGTTCTTATACGACGACAAAACTGAGGATTTGATTAAATAATTTGTATTTTCCTTAGGCAGATACACATAAAATGGATTGGTGCCATTTCACAAGTCCTTTTTGTTAGGTTCCGTTCTTATTCACGAATGAGGAATATAGTTTTATCATAACAACTGGAAAGGGGACCAATCTCCCTGCGTTCTACTCGTGATCCCATAAGCAGATAAAGCATCAAACAGCTGTGCATTCACAATAAACCAAAAGTGAAGGAAGCTTCCAAAATAGTGTCTAAACAAGCTCACCAATTTTATTTCAGGTACTCATCAGCTCAAACATGTGAATTTGCTTCCACCTATTGGCTGTAAATTCTTTTAAGAGATAAAGGGTAAAATTTTATATATTCAAAAATGGGTATATAATAATATAAAACCATCCCCTTCTTCATTTTATCAACCTAGCACAAGATGGGCTTCTTTAGAGTCTTTCTTTTTGCCATTCTTCTTCTTCTACAGGTAGCCAATTATATACATAGTCTCAATTCAAAATCTCAAAATACATCTTCATTTCTTTATAATCTCAGAAGAGTTAAAATCTCACATGAAATTTGCATTTTGGTTTGTTTATCTTTACCCCTTTTTAGGCTTATGCGGAAGCTGCATCCACTAGCAGAGTGGCCAATTCTCTTGCAAACGTGAGTTACTCAAAATTTTCTACTTTTCATACAATTTTTATTAAATAGCTCTTCAATTAGTCGCTGTATGAACATTTTCCTTTCATCATTTTGTAAATTAACTGCTTCTTACAGGCAAAATTAAATTTTAAACCGAAACATGGATTTGGTATTTTGGTTACAGACATATGAAGGAAGTCAGCAGGCTGTCGCTATGAACGAACATGTCCAGTTGCACAAAATCAGTAAGTTGCATTAATTTCACAATATTTTCTGCACACAATGGTTTTAATTTTGTCTATATTTTATTGAGTTTAAGGTTGAGGAGTTTATGTTTGTGTAGTGGATTTTTTCAAATATGAGCAATACTACTGACACTCTCTTTAATACATTATTATTTTAACAATAAAAAGACTGTGAAAAATTATAAAAAAATGCGTTACTATTGTCACATGTATATGTTTATTATCACCTTTTTTTAATACAATTTTTGTCTAAAATATTTTTTTTCTTATGGGTATATCAATAATAAGAGTATTTTATATAAAAAAAATTTAAATTAGAGTGACAAATAACATACAGGTGAAACAGTAAACATTCTAGTGCAGTGATAGTTTTATATGTTAGCTGAAGAGTTAACCTATTTTTAATGGAGACTATTTAATATTGACAAAACACATCTTGACAGGATATATGACTCTAAATGAGTTCGCATGTTTATTGAATCATTGATCAAACAATGATATTTACCGTCTTATTCTACATTGATTCGTTCTTGAATCAAGTTAAACTGTGGCTCTTTATTTTTTCTTTCCATAGCTTTGCAGCATAACTCAAAGTTAATTAAATATGGTTCGCATCTAAAGTAGCATGAGCAAGCATTTAAAGCAAATATTTAATTAGTAGCCCATGTATATATATATATATATATATATATATATATATATATATATATATATATATGATTTAATAATTAACATTTTTTAATTTTTGTATATAATTATATTAATAAAATTATTTGAAATATTAATTTTTAAATTTTTTTTTAACTTAACCTTAAAATCACAGTATCAAAATAATAAAAATTTAATGTATAAAAACAAAGATATTTACATAAAATTTGAAAGTTTTTATAAAGTAATAAAAGAAATTTTATAAATATAAATAAAAAATTTGCAATAAATCTAAAAGTTTATGAAAAAAAAAAGATAATATTAAATAACAATTTTTATTTCTAAAATTTATGACAAAATTAAAAATAATAATTAAAAGCCATGTATCATTCTTAAAAAATTGTAATATTAAAAAATATGATAAATGTAAAAGAGAGTAAATCTACTTAAATATGTCATCTTTCATATAAAATTCTACCATTTATAATATAGAGATTGATTATTTTTGTCTTTGTAAATTAGACTGCAACCACGAGTGCTCTCGAAGATGTAAGAAGGCATTTAAAAAGAAGAGGTGCAAACGAGCATGCAAGTCATGTTGCAACACATGCCACTGTGTACCCCCTGGTACCTATGGCCACAAGGAGGTTTGTCCATGTTATGCAACTCTCAAGACGCATGGGAATAAGCCTAAATGCCCTTGAAATTATAGAAAAAAGGGCATTCAAATCTTCACCATTTGAATGTTATGTTTGATTGAATATAATAAGTAGTAGAATACACTACAATATTTAGTAAGGAGCTTGAATATTATTGAATGTAATGCCCTTCGTTGAGATTTTTAATTGATTGAAGTATTTTGATTGGATATAATTCTTGGTGTAATTTCATTTTGTATTTGAAAGATTTTTTTTATTTGTTTTTCTGTTTGTCATTTTATGTAATATGAAAATTGGTTCTTCTCTATACTTTTGTCGTGTTTTTAACTATAATTCATATAATATTTTTATTTCATTTTTTTCACTTTCCTTTTCTTATTTCTTCCTATTTTGTACAAAGAACTTATATAAAATTAATTTCTCTATTAGTAAGAGTCAATAAAGAATGTGATAAAAATTTCAACAAAAAGAACTTAACTAAGGACTAAATTTAAAAAAAAAAAATTTAGAGAAAAAAGATAACTTGATATAATTAGACATTTTAAATAATAAAAAATATATAAAAGTCAATATATAATGATTTATTTTAGTTTATTTATTTATTTTCTCTAATAAGAGGGGCTCAAAAGCTCAAAAGAGAACACAATATAGGCACAAGGCTTAGGACAACTCTAGAAATTAGAGTCCAAATTCAAGAAATGCAAAAGAAGGGGAGGGGGACCTTAAATTAGGAATAAGGAACTAGAGAATCTAAACCTACTTTAGCTAAAGAGTTTGCACATTGATTCGCTTCTCTACATATATAAGCAAATCTAACAAATCTAATAGATTTCAAAGTATTTCTAATACTACAAAGTAATAAAAATAGAGGGTGGGAAGGAAGTTGGACATTCAACACAAAAGCAATTTTTCCTTAGAATCACTCTCAATCCAGATTACTTGAATTTTGGCAGAAACAACCATCTGATAGCCTAAATAGATCCTCAAAGCCCAGCAAGGAGAGGAGAGTAAAAAGACAAGTTGCAACTAAACCTAAAACAAAATTTGCTATGACAGTCTCAAATTAACCCTCCACAGGCAGCCACCCCTTTAAATTTAGATACTGCATCCATGTTCAGTTTAAGTTGATTAATAGGTGGAGGAGTCCATCTAACCATCCCATGATTAGAGATCAAGTTAGAGAAAGATATATAATCAGACTTGCCACCAAAGGAAAAGTACTCAACATCATATAAAGATTTTTGGACAACACTACCAGGCTGGGAAAAACATTTCTAAAAGATAAAATGATTCCTATCATTCCAAATAACACAACAAAAAATGATAGACCAGTTATGGAAACGAGAGCAATGAGAATTAGAGAGGTTATCCCAAACCTTTTTTGAAAAATAAAAATAAAAATCCCTTAACACATGCATAATAGTTTCAGGCCAATCCTCACACCTAGGACAAGTAGATGACTCAGACATACCTCTAAAAAATCTCTCTTCATTAGTGAATAATCTACCATGAGTTAGTTTCCAAAGAAGAAAAACAATTTTAGAGGGACCTTTCCAACTCCAAATAATTTTAAACAGGTTAGTCCTATTTGAGGGACTAAGATTAACATTAACTAGCATATAATAAGCAGAATTAAGGGGAAAAAAAATCTCATTATTAGAAATATTCTAGAATGTATAATAAGGCCCAACAGATCTAGAAGGGGAATTAATTGAGGCAATGGACCTACCTATATAGGCAAGAAGGAGGGAATATATAATAGGATATAAGGTATTTCATTGATTCTTAAACAATAAGGCATGAATTCCATCAGGGCCAGGGGTTTTAAAATTCCCTATGCTAAAAAGAGAGGTCTTAACCTCCTTAATGGAAGGGACAGTAGAGAATCTCTGGATGTCAAATTCTCTAAGGTAAGGAAAACAAGACTAGGTTCTCAGGTGGAACTCCTAGGGTAAAGGGTCATGGTAAATGTCCTTAAACTAGCTCAGGGCTATAAGCTGAAGCTTAGAAGGATTATATTCTCAATTACCAACATCATCCTTAAGGGTAGCTATGACATTTTTGTTTCTACGGACAACAGCTGCTCTATGGAAAAAACTCGTGTTCCTATCCCCTAACTTAATCCATTTAGATATGTAGTGATGGAATCAATAAGATTCTTCATAGTCCAAGATTTGAATATATTCTTTCCAAAGAGATTTAACAAGATTAGTGAGGAAGGGATTATTCCCAAGGGCAAGCTTCTTAGAAATCCCTTCTATTCAGCTAAAATTCTCTTATTCTATTGAAAATATTCCCAAAAGTGGTTTTGTTTCATTCATATATATTACTAGTAAACCTATGAATATTTTTAGTCTAAGAGCTAGAACTGGACCAAGAGGATTTAACTAGGTTAGGAAAGTCAGGTGAGAAACCCATGGAGCTAAAAACTTGAAGGGTTTGTTAGCAGGTGACCCCTATCCATAGGACTCATTCTAAGTCAAAGTTCCACATGATCAGACTTGGAAACAGGGATATGAATGACTGTACTATTCTGAATAAGAGGCACCAATCCTCATTGGCCACTACTCTATCTATTCTCTCTTTAAGGTTGCCTCTCTACCAAGTAAAGGGGGTTCCTTTAAACCCCAAGTCTTGAATACCACAATTGTTAAGACAATCAACAAAGTTGTTAATAAGATAAGTGTTGACAGAACCCCCACCAATCTTTTCCTTATCATAAAGCATAGAATTAAAATTTCCAGCAACAGACCAGAGATTTGTAACTGTACGACTAAAGTCAATCAACTCATTCCAACAATCTATTTTAATTCTTTCCTGAGGGTTGACATAAATAGAAGAGAGAATCCAGTCAGGATGGTCATTGTAACTAATTTTCATGTGAATAATAAACTTAGATTTAGATAAGATAAAGCCTTAACCCTAGAAGTGTTCCAGAAACACCAAATGCCTCCAAAAAACCCTAGAGCATCTACTTTAGTATTATCATCAAGTTTAATTTTATTGATAATACTATTAGCCTTATCAAGACTGACCCTAGGTTCAAATAAAGCCACAAAACCTAGACTGTAAATATCAATTAGGTCATTAATAATTCTATAAAAAGCTCTACCACCAGCTCCTCTACAGTTTCAGAAAAAGTTATTTATAAAAAACAGGGAAGACTAGGAAGCAATTGAGTGATGCTGAACATTAGCTAACCTAGATTCTAGGGCCAAGGGGGCATCAAGGAGAGGTTTAGCCCTAGTACCTAAGTTGCAAGTTGAATCCATATCGATAGTAACTCCCTATCTGGAGGCTTTTCAAGTTTGATGTGTAGGGACCAATTTTTATCAGGATTCATACTTAACAAGCTCTGTATAAAACAATTTTGGGATGAGTTATTATTAATATCTTTCTGCATTTGACTCATAAGAAGCAAGATATCCTTATCTCTATCAATAACTAAGCCTCTAGTCCCAGTTTCAACTTCAAGCAGATCCTGTTTCTCAGCGTGATTATTAGCATTCACTGGATCATTATGAGGTTCATACTTAGACTTGGATCTAAGCTTAGTTAAGTTTTTAAGAGGCTTATTATAACCATGATCATTAAGAGTTTTACCTGTAGACCTAGATTTAGATCCCTCAGTGTGGTGTGAAACTTCCAATTTAGTTTTATCCTTATTACCAGATGGGCATTTTTGAATAGGGTAGGACTCTCGACCCAACTCTTTATCTGAATTTTGTAGCACCCCAAATCTTGACCCAAAAGATAACTCTTTACCCTTACCCTTAGGAGTAGACTCCCCTGAACCTCTAGATTGAGCTTGTTTTTTTCTAAAAGGCTTTTTTGGCCAACATCTAGGGACCAAACTGACTATCTCCTCACTAGACATATCTGATTGGGATTCTTGTAAACTTTCCCAGAGTAGCACTTAGGAACAACAGACATTTTATCCTTAAACATTTCAAATGGATTAAGAGTATTCTCAACAATAGCCCTAACTAAGGAAGGTTTAGAAATATCAATACAAGAATCCAATTTATACTCGTATTTCCCACACTTAAAACATATAAGATGTAGACCCTCATACTTGATTCTAAAAACCTGCCTTAGGGCTTTAAAGGAATGAATAAGTCTCTTATTTAGATCTATTTCAACACATTCTGGCAAAGTGACCTCTAGCTAGTAAGGAGGTATGAGAATCAGTTTTCAGCATAGATCCCAGGCAGGTTCTTACCTGGCATAAGAATTTCTCATTGTACAGCTTTAGGGGGAGATCTGGAATATGTACTGAAACTACCAATTTCCTAAGATTTTGATCTTTGGGGCTAAACAAAGGCCTCCATCTTTGGACTAAAAGATAATAATCCATTATAAGTCAAGGCCCTTCAAATCAGGCATGTTTATAATCTTCTAAGTTCTCAAATTTAACTAGAAAAATAAATCATTATTTAGGTCCAATATTTTAAGGTTACCATTCTTTCCCCAAAGATTATTAATTTTTTGACTCAGGAAATTAAAGCTAATGGACTTACCTAAAAGTTTTATTATGAGAGTAAATTTTCACAGATTACACTATGCCTTGTAGTCCTCTAATGGAATTTTAAATTTAGGACAAAGATTAGCAGTATTATCATCTTCTGTTACAATTTCATTAGAGTCTAGAAGTTAATATCTTCTATAATCGATTTTATAATTTCTTCATCATCTAATACCAGATATAGGTCATTAAAGACTAAATTAAAGGCTAATAATTTTAACATATATAGAAACTAAAATGAATGGTAAATTACATATATAGACTAATTTTAACATTCTTTTTTAAAGACTAAATTGAAGGATTCCTTATGTTTTAAGGACTAAAATGAAAGATTGACTGTACATTTAGAGACTAATTTTAATATTTAAAAGTTAATTTTAATATTTAACTACTAAATTAAAGGCTCTTTATTTTTTAAGGGTTAAATGAATGACAAATTGCAAAGAGATAGTTTTAATATTGTTTATTTTAAAATTAAATTAAATGACTATTTTTCAAGCATCAAATCAAAGATTTACCATTTTTAGATATATTAATGGGATGTGAGTATTTAAAAAAAAAAAAGCGAATAGAAAAATAATAATATATAATACTAAATTTTAATAATTTAAATAAGAGAGCATACACTAATATCCCCTAATCGGTAGGATTGGAGTAACGGGTCCTTAATAAGGTTCTATTTTAGTACTGTGATATTATATTCATGTTTTTGGACTTTGGAGTACCTGGATAGTTGGCACGCTTCCTTAAACTAATATTCAATAAACAGCTGGCATTGACTTGACGAGTAGTCTACTCGAAATTAGAAAGAGAAGCAATTCAATTAGAGGGCTAGAGTCACTGCTGTTTTATCTACTTTACTATATATCGAAATTATAGAGTCTTGAATGAAACACACGATGGCTCTGGAACTTGTTGCTGGACCTTTACTGGGAGCTGTTTTCAATGTGTTGCTTGAAAGGATAGCTTCTTCTGAGGTTGTCAACTTCTTTAAAAGCAAAAACAGCGACAGGTTACTGAAAAGGTTGAAGATAATCTTGTTGTCGGTCAATGCTGTGCTCAATGATGCAGAGGAAAAGCAAATGAAAAATGAATCAGTGAAGGAGTGGCTTGAGGAACTCAAAGATGTAGCCTTTGCAGCTGATGATCTACTTGATGAGATCTGCACTGATGCAGAAATCAAGGCAAAAGAGGTAAACACACTCCACTCCACTTCTATGAAGTTTTATGATAAAGGGCTTGAGGAGAAAATTGAAGATGTTCATGAGAAATTAGAGTTTATTATAAAACAGAAAGAGGTACTTGATCTAAAGTTGGGCAAGGAGGTCAAAGTGGCACACAAGACACCAACCTCATCTGTGATAGAAGCAAGTGATGTGTATGGAAGGGACGGTGATAAAGAAGCCTTGGTTAACATGGTTTTGTCACATGATGCTCATGATGAAAAAATAGGTGTCATCCCCATTGTTGGAATGGGTGGAATTGGAAAAACAACCTTAGCCCAATTGATATACAATGACTATAGAGTACAGAAGGAATTTGATCTCAAGGCCTGGATTTATGTATCAGAAGAATTTGACATCTGCAAGATTACAAAAAACCTTTTGGAGGTTGTCACATCTTGTAGTTGCGATATTGAAGACTTAAACTCTCTCCAGAGGAATCTCAAAATGTACTTACAGAAGAAAAGATTTTTGTTTGTGCTGGATGACGTTTGGGATGAAAATTATGATAATTGGGACAAATTCAGGAGCCCATTTAAACATGAAGGGGCACTTGGAAGTAAGATTATAGTAACTACTCGAAGTGGGCATGTTGCATCCATCATGCAAACTGTTCCACCATATTATCTCAGTGAATTGTCCAATGAATATTCTTGGAATTTATTTTCAAAACACGCATTTGATTATGGTGATTCTAGTGTGCATCGAAGTCTAGAAAAAGTTGGAAGAGAAATAGTTAGAAAGTGCAAGGGATTACCTTTGGCTGTGAAGACACTAGCAGGACTTTTGAGGTCTAAAAGTGATAAGCAAGAATGGTACAAAGTATTGAACAGTGAGATATGGGATCTGCAAGATCGTGAGAGTAATATTCTTCCAGCTTTGAGATTGAGTTACCATTATCTCCCCTCTCATTTGAAGAGATGTTTTGCTTATTGTGCAATTTTTCCTAAAGACTATGAATTTGAAAAGGAGAACCTAATTTTGTTGTGGATGGCAGAGGGTTTTCTCCAACAGTCAAAAAGACACAGAAGAATTGAAGAAGTTGGAAATGAGTATTTTTGTGAATTAGTATCAAGATCTTTTTTCCAGCAACCACGGCGTGGAAAGCCATGTTTTCTGATGCATCACCTTGTAAATGACTTGGCTCAATTTGTGTCAGGAACATTTTCTGTCAGAATAGAAGGTAACAATTCTAACGAAGTTGAGGAAAGAACTCGCCATCTGTCCCACATTGTTGCAGATAGTTCTTCATGTTTGAATCTCAAAGATGTTAGCAAAGCAAAGCACCTAAGGACTATTTTGCAAATAAGACCAATAGGTACATCCATTGACTTGTTCAACAACACGCCAAATGATCTGTTAACAAAGTTAACGTGCTTAAGGGTGTTATCTTTAGTAGGTGCACATATCTATAGTTTACCTGATTCAATAGATGAACTAAAACATCTGCGCTCTCTGGAAGTGTTTGACACACAGATTGTGAGGTTACCTGAATCCATTTGCAGCTTGTTCAATTTACAAACTCTGAAGTTAGTTGGGTGCTATAATCTTGTTGAGCTGCCAAAAGGTATTCATAAGCTTGTTAACTTGCGCTACTTGGATATTACAAAAACTTGTTTGAGGTGGATGCCATTGCATATGAGTGAGTTAAGAAGCCTCCAAAAGTTGAGTGACTTTTTTGTGGGAGAATATGGATCTTCCATTGGGGAATTGGGAGAGCTATCTAGTTTACATGGAACATTGTGCATTCATTACATAGAACATATTGGTAATTGTAAGGATTCTGTAAAGGCAAAGTTGAAGGAAAAGCATGGTCTTGAAAAGTTGTCTTTGGAGTGGGGTGGGAGTGGTGATACTGATAACTCCAAGCATGAGAAAACCATACTGGACAGCCTGCAACCACATACTAATTTGAAGGAGCTAGATATCTATCACTATCCAAGCACAGAATTTCCAGATTGGTTGGGGGATCACTCCTTTTGCAACTTGGTGTCCTTACAGCTTAAGGGCAGTAAATATTGCTACAAATTGCCTCCACTTGGACAACTTCCATTGTTGAAAGAGCTTCACATTATTAAATTTGAAGGACTAGTGAATGTGGGGTCTGAGTTTCATGGAAATAGAAACTCTTCTGCAACTGATAGCTTTCCTGCACTAGAAATTCTAAGGATTGAGTATATGTCAGCATGGGAGAAATGGTGTCATTATGCTGACAATGCAGGCAGCAGAGCTTTCTGTCATCTTAGAGAGCTTCATATTGAAAGCTGTCCCAAACTGATAGGGGATTTACCAGGTAACCTTCCATCTTTGACATTACTTCTAATCAGAGATTGCAAAGCTTTGCTTTGTTCAATTCCTAAAGCTCCAGCTCTGCGTGTGTTGAACATTCAGAATTGTGAGAATCTAGAATTCCCAGTACATGCACCTTGGTACCACCAATCCTTGACTTCATTATTCTTACATGGTAGCTGTGACTCACTCATGCTCTTGCCTTTAGATCTCTTCCCCAACCTCAAGTCTCTGGATATTTGGGGATGTAAAAATCTTGAAGCGCTTACTGTTTCAGCATCAAATGCAACTCCTCCAAATTTCAAATCCCTTCATTCTATATGGATAAGGCATTGTCCAAAATTCACATCATTTCCCAAGGGAGGATTCGCAGCCCCAAAGCTCACATTATTAACCATCAACTACTGTGAGAAATTGAATTCTCTGCCTGAACAAATAACTAATCTTATGCCAAACTTGAAACAAGTTCAACTGCGGGGTTGTCCAAAAATTGAGTCATCAACTATGAGGCCACTCAGGATCCGGATTTGCAAACTCTTGGAGGGGAAACAAAACCATTCTGATCCTCTCTTTGCAAGGTTGGAGGGTCTGGCCACTGTTCATAGCCCGTCATCAAGGTAGACGCCAACCATGTCTCAGTGCATTCGATGGTAAAATAACTTTCACCAGCTTCTCGATGAAACAAATTTATAGGGAAGTGTAGCTTCAGCATAGCCATACATCACGATTAGATGATTATTAATGGATTAGATCAGGTATGGCTTGTACGTTACATGTATAATATCAATTTTTTTAACTTGTAGAACATTATATAAGATAAAAAGTTATATATGATAAGCTTTTATTAAAAATTATAAAAGCCAATCCAATTCAATGCATTAATACTATTAAATGCCACGATTTTTAATAAAAAGTTACCATGTATAACTTTTAATCCTTTGAAATATTGAACAGGTCAGAAAAATTGATATAATATAAACCATTCATGTATCTTCTCATAATGACTTTGGCTTTCAGAATGGTTGGTTCTTGACAGTATCATTTTAGAACAACTAAGGGCTTTGGGGGGCTGAAGCGGGTCTTTAAAAGGTCTAAAATTGTAAAATCAGAATGTTAAAGTAAGTATGCTTTACTTTTTTGCTGTTCATCGCATCAATAGCAGAAGCAAACTCCTATATACAACTGAATTTACCATTATTTTCCATTTTCTACGCATCAATTATTTCACTCAATAATAGAATGAATCAACTAAGTATTAAAATTGTCCTTACTAAAATGTCCGTCCCCTTCAATGACATCTTAAGTCAACCAGATGAATGCTTTGTGAACTGATATGGTTCATCAGCTTAAAATAGTATATCAATTTATCATGTTCTATTGTTATGACCAAATAAAATAATACTAGGTAATGCAGACCTATCAAAGGATACCTGTGGCAACCTCTTAGTCACCCTGTAACTACAAAGGATCAAAATTGTTGAACTTGTAATAAATTAGGGACTAAAACCAGAAGCAAAATTTTAACGCATAAAATAAAAATTTTGCAAAAATGTAAAGACTAAAAAGTATATTAAAGCCTAATTTATTTAATGGTTCACTGTTTCTTCGAACAGTCAAGGAGCTGACAATGACTAGAAGTTGAATTATAATAAATTTGTAAATATTGACTAGATAGATCTGTTTGTTGTTTTCACAAGCTGCCTCTTATTAATCAAGGTGAAACAAAGCACAATCTTGATGTCCTGTCAATCCTCATTTACTTTTACACTATATTTATTTGTGAATTAGATGGTTTTGTGTTTCTATTATTTTTGTGAAGTCATGGTTTTCTCAATCAATTGACATTCCCCTCATTTTTTAGGAGATACAAAAGCAAAGAAACCCCAACATAATTATGCCTCAATGACAAAGCTCATCTTTAGAAGTGAGAATTGCTTGCTTAGCTAGTCATATAAGTCTTTGATTAGGTAAACTTTTAGAGAAGTTCTTATAAAAGAAAAAAAATATGTATAAAAAATAAAAAAAATTCCTTTCATGAATTAGAAATAATTTATACAGTTTTACTTGTTTAAAAGTTCTAAAAAACTTGATCATTTAGCTTATATGAAATTTGAAGAGAGAAATTATTTTTAATTTATGAGAAAAAGTTTATTCATTTTTTATACTAATTTACAGGTTCATAGATTTAGTTTAGGTAAACTTCAAGATAAGTTCTTATAGGAAAAAAATAATATAAAAAAATAAAATTCCTTTCATAAATTAAAAATAATTTATCTTCAAACTTTGAAGAAGTTATATGAAATTTCTTTTCAAAAAGTAGAAAAGCATACATTGCTTCTATCTTATAAAAGAAGTTTTATTTTCTTTTCTATTATTTGTTTACAAGTACTTCTCCGTAACTTTATCCAAACTAAGTCCTAGTCTTGCCACTTTGTTAATTATTTACTTCTAATAATTCAAACTCAAATAAATCACGTTCTACGTCTTGGATAGAATGAGAATGGATGAATTGGGAATCAAAATGACTGTGCCAATGGCTATGTGTACTTCTTTCACTTCAGTAAACAAACAATCATTTTGAACTATGTTTATGGTCTGAGGTTGAAGTTATATCTTTGGTATTTGAAAGAAATACCTTTAAGTATTTTTTTTTAGCTGCCAAAATAAGTTAGTGTTAAGTAACCAATTATACAGTGTTGCCAGAATGAAGTTGGAGAAATTATTGATGTTTGTGGATTGCTTTATCACAGCCAAGGATTTTAGGAGCATTTTGAGAGTGCTACTTGTTCAGTTCCTTGAACTTAGGTGGGAGTGAGAACTGTTTAGTTGATGGAGCGAGAGAGAGCCTAACAAAGGAGGGTGTTTCGGGACAGAAAATGTTGAGTTTGGGATCCTGAACGTGGATGTGGTAGTGACCGGGTTCATTATATTCAAATATTGTTTGCCACGTTCACATCAATACATAATGCTATTTTAACATTTTAATACTATATATAGTGACTTCTTTTTCATTTAATATTTATCTTAAATTTTCATCAAATTTTAACTCTTTAATTTAATATATTAGAACATATTTATTGATAATTATATTTTAAAATTTATTAATTTTTATATAATATTATAATATATTTTAAATTTTTTATTAAAAAATATAATATAATTTAATAATATTTTTGAACTATATCCATTAGTTATACCTTCTTTAATAAAATTATGCTTGTCGATGAGCAATGAGAGAGGAGGCTTGTTCACATACCCATGTAATTAACAATGGTTCTTTTTGCATTTGTGTACATTGGTACATAGCCATTATTAATGCTGAAGTGCCATTCTTGTTAATTTTGTCAATCTCTCTTCAAAGATAGTTTCCTTACTTGGCTTCAGCGCTTTTGGTGGTTGTATAGCTCTATTTCTCTAGGCTGAATATTAAAAGAAATTAACTGTGTATATACAAATTAAAAATTAGAAACTTTTATTTTGGATTTATTTTTAGAATTAAATGTTTAAAATACTTAACAGTACCTTTGGTATTTTATTTTAGATTATATATGTGTAATTCTTTTCTTTAACTTCTTTTAAAGTTGATTAAGTTTTTTGTTTTTAAAATTAACTAAATTTAGTCTTGTTGCCTACTCTTTGCTAAAAATAATGTTTACACCTCAACTCTCTTCTCTTTCTCTTCAGAGTTATGCCACTCACAATAGTTCACCTCCTCTTGTCCCAAAAGCTCCCCCTACCTTTCTCTTTTTTATATTTATACAATATTTGTAAAAAATTTAGCGACAAAATTTTAGCCACCAAGCAGTGGCTAAATTTTTCTATTTTATTTAGCTAAACGAATTAGTCAATGATGTTTTATTGAAAAAAAAAACTTACTTTTTAGAAAAAGAGAGAATTTTAAATTTGTAGGGTAAATATTTATATATGTATTTATTTATTCAAAAAATTATTTGTTTGGAATGAAAATTTCAAAAAATAATTATTTAAAAATTTAAAAATATATTTTAATTTTAAAAAGGTTAATTTTTAAATTTGGAAAGGGAGTAGAAGGAAGCTAGAGTATTTATTATTTGAAAACATATTATTTTAGTTTTGGGAATAATTTTTATTTGAAAAAACTAGTGGAAGAATTTTTATTTTTATTTTTAAATAAAAACTCTTTTGTTCCATTATAAATATTCACCAAACAGTTTTTTTGCATAGAATAAATTCGTGTTTTTCATTTACACAGGGAAACATATATTTTATATTTGATAATCATAAATACAAGAGCAATTATGTAAAATAAGCTTATCTAATTAAAAGATGAAGATTTTGTATTACTATAATTACATGTATTTAACAGTAACAAACTCTAAAGATTTTAACATTTAAAGCAGACAATTTTAAAATAATGTGTTTGTTGTGTTGTAATATCTAAAAAGGCTAAAGTATAATCTTAACTGTTACGATTGTGATGTTTTTTTTGTCTTACTTTGTAACTAATTATTTTAGCTTATAATCTCTCATTTTTAAATTCTCTCAAATTTTAGTCCTTATTGTTGAGTTTGGTAAATGCTTATGTGACTTGTTGAAGACCATGTCGTTGGTGTGTTATACAGTATCGACAATATTACACTTGATTTCCAAACTCCATCTAGTTTTTTCAAATTCAAGGTTTTAGCTGAATCTTCTAATCACTTATTTCTCTTAGATCTTGAAAAGAAGCAAAGGGACAACTTTCTTCCCCACAGACATAGCTACAGAGTAAAGAAATCTGACTACTACCCCACATTTCTCCCCCAACAACAAAGATGACAAATGAGAGTTTATTGTAATTGGCAGCGCGTAGGCTTCTAAAAGAAGAAGCAGAGCCCAAATTATCATCATTCTAATTACACAGCTCAGCACAGCTTTCCTCTGTACAGATATACAATTTTGTTTCTTCTGTTTTTTTTTTTTTGGTTTTTTCTATTTACTGCTGCATTATGTTATACCAGCCTCTAGAATAAAGCTGAGGCGTATATTTTTCTGTTATGCATTTTTATCCCTTCCTGTAATTATGGGACTCATAGGTTGTATATATATCCATTCTTTTCTCTTCAATGAATTAGAAATATAGATTCCATCTATTTGTTTGTCTCTGAACCTTCTTTTCCTCCTTTGTCCTTTTCTTTTAGCTTCGAAGTTTGTTAAGGATTTTCAGTAGTTACTAAACGCATGGCAATTCTATATTAAAATTAAATAATATTAAATTCTAAATATATTTGTAGATAATATGACACAATGTCAATTGTTATTTGTATATCTAGCATATTGTTACCATTTAACAAGCTTTTTACTAGTGTAAAATTTGGTAAATTTGATAAAATAAAGAATGCAGGATAAAATTAATTAGCACAAAAATTAAAACACCTCGTTTATAAAAATTTAAAATATATTTAAAGTTATCTTAAAAATTATCTCCTGATATTATCATTGTACTACTGCTACATATTACTGAGATATGTTTTAATAATTAATTTATTTTGTATAATCAATGCATTTGTTTCAATCACATTGTTCAGCTATATATTTAGCTTTATTAGCTCAATTATATTCAGCTGTTTTCTTTCTTTCTCACCTAAAAGTAGAAAATACAAAATAAAATTAAGACACATTCATAATTATTAACTTCTACTTAGTAGTTTGTTCATAATGAAATAAATTGAAGTATAACTTATATCCATTTCTCAAGTGACAGAACACATATTTAAAAAAAAGAAGCAACGTATAACTTAACATCTCTCAAGAGAAAATTGTAATTTAGTATATCATTATTATATCTTTAATTATTGTAAAATATTTTAAATATCAGAGTAGTTTTCACATTTCATATATTTTTTTCTCATAAAATTTAAAAGTGATGAAAAAGCAAAACCGGAACGATAATCATTCAGTATTAACAAAATATATTATATATTGTAAACTCTATTATCTGTAATCCTACAATTTACAAACTCCCTTCAAATTTAGCATCAGCTAGTTTAAAAGGGGGAAAAGGTAATGGTTTCAAGGCATTTGAGCCTAACTTCATCACAATCTACCTGTTCAACTAGGAATTGCTATTTTCTCTCCCTCCTTTTCTTTTACGGTATGTCAACATGGCAGCAGAGCTTTCATCAAGCCATATTGCCCAACACTGACACCCCCTCCCCCCAAAAAGGAATCATGGTAAATGAAGCACAGAACTCAATTAGATACCCCTACAATATGTGAAGAAGAAAAAACCACAAGATGCCATATGGTTTCTGAGCTGGCCAAAATATTCTGCCAGGCAGATGCTATTTGGCACAAAACTCAGACTTGAATCTGGTCAGGTTTTGCGAGAATTTATCCCTGTTCTTTGCTTCCAAACTCAGCGTCACATCTTGCATAAGCTTGTCAAAACACAACGATAGCCGCTGGTATTGGTCTTGTGGCTGCAAAATAATTCAAGGAAATTTTAAAACTTGAAATTATTGCTACTTCTTTTGTGGGTAGAATATCTAAAGAAGTCGCCAGTGTAAACAAATACAAGACTGGTTACTGCCTAACTGTAAGACACTTTCCATAGTGTTTTGCTCTTGATAGAAATCTTCACATTCCAATTGATGCACACCTTTTAAGTAATACTGACATTAACAAATATTAACTTGAGAAAAACTGAGGCAAATAATTAAAATATATGGAATTCTAGATAGTTTCGATCAGGAAACAAGCAACATTTCATAACTTCCTGAAAAAGATTAGATATCTGAATTAGTATTCATTTATTACTTATTGGTTTTGTCTGCCTATTTATCAGGACAGGAATGATCACTCTCATTGAGACTTTTAAGATCTTGCTGCGAGGAAGACATTTGTTGCACTGTAATGAAACTACTTTTAAATTATCTTACCATTAAGTAGATTGTTAATTATCATAGATTTAGCCTTATTTTAGGAAAGGAATTATTCTGTTTCGGCCATATAATGCATGGTAGTCAATATCGCAATCTTACTCATAAAATCACACAAGAAAGATGACACAATTCTATGATTTTATGTAGCTTGTACTACCGGGATCATGCTTCGGATTGCCATCCAGTGTTGTCATGTTTACTCGTAAAACGATGTGAACATGTGATCCACCAAGCTGGACAACAAAATTTGGTTGGTGTTCACTCAAGATCTACTTGGATGAAACCTGAAAACCCAATTTCCTCTCAACCCTAAACGACATTTCAGCTCTCCAAACCCTTTTTTTCTACGTTGCACTTCAAACAGAACATCTGTGCTGGTCCTCTTCTGTGCCTGCATTTCCCATTTGTTCTGGTGTCACCAATCTTCTCCAGGGTCGTGATTTTCTCTTTTCCTTGTTTGATGCTACTGCACTGTGAGAAGGATGGTTCAGCGTGCTGTTGGTACCTCTATCTCTGTGTTCTGTTTGACTGTTCTCCTTGCTCAGTCAGCATTCTCTGTTTCTATTTTATATCTTGTCTCGTCAAAAACTTGGTGTTTGGTATTTGGTATTTGGAGTTACTACTTTAGCTTACGTTCTTAATTTGTGGCTAAAGAACTACATGTATATATTACAAATTGAGAAGGGATCAACTAACACCGGTGAGTTACAACAACTCTAGCACTGTGAATAACGTAATATAGAATGTGATTTTTATGGTTTTAAATTTTAACCGTTGAATAATAAAGATGTTACCTTGGTTATTTATGTCAACTTTTGTCAAATTTGAAGTATATGAATATGAAAAAGGCCTTGTTATTTTTTGTAGGTTCTTATTTTCATATATTTTGATAGTAAAAACACACATAATGAGAGAAATAATTTTGAATTAATCTAAAACTTTGCAGATATGATCTATATAAAAGGAATTTTTAATTGGAAAATTTGCTTTTAGGACAAAATAGTTTAATGATAATTTAATGACCAATGTAAGAGTTGGAATAACTCACTAGAATAAGTTGGATCCTTTCTCATATAAATTTATATGCATAAATTATGAATTTTTTTAGAACTTAGAATCTCACAATTTACGTTTTTTTCCCCTTCCCAATCCCTACCTAGAACCTCAATTTTGACTAGCTTGAAATAATGTAATGTTGCATAGAGTGTTATCATCAAAATATTATATTCAGAAATTACTTGTTCCAGTATAGATTACTAATCAATTTATTAAATATCATATGATAATAGAACAAGAGATCAATAGTATTAACAACCATATTATCATAGATGTACCAAGAATACCAATAGAAAGGAGTCCATAATACTGCTAAATCATATAGCAAGATATGCTGGCCAGGAATAAAATTCATAAGACAGTTTTGGACTTACATATGAAGCCAAAATTTGAGCCTTGATATTTGTGAACATCTGCAACAAAAATAGCAAGTCAATATGCTAGTATATACAGTAGAAATAATAAGATTTACATATGGTGGAAAGAAAAGTGGGCAAGAATGCTCTGAATAATACGTTAGATGAATATGAGGTTGGTGTGTTGATGTGACAAAAAATAATAACCTATTAGTTTTATTTATAATTGTTGATATGTAAATATAGTAATTAGGCATGATGTGTAATTATAGTAATTAGTCCAGTAAAATAGCGTAATTATAGTAAGATATCATAATTACCTTTATTAAGATAATATTCTGTAATTAATATAGATTCCCTTGTACATGTATAAATTCAGACCCTTGGGTCATATGCAATACACAGAAAACACATTCAAGTTTCAGATTCTATATGGTATCAGATTTGAGTTTTGACCAGACACCTATTTCTCAGTTGCTACAGTAACCACGCCCTTCTCCAGGCCCGATCTATGCCACCTTTGACTTTTTCGGCCATCTAAGGCTGCGACCAAGACGGTCTCTTCCCGGCGACCACCTTTGACTTTTCGCTGACGCCACCCGCCGCTGCACGCGCCGCCACAGTTCCTGTACGTCAGTTTCATGCGCCGCCATATTTAGCCTGCGCATCTCGTTTTTTGACGTCGTTTCTGCTTCAGCGACCTTCTCTACCATTTCTCCATCTCCGGCGACCCTCCCAGTACATTCTTATAGCCTTTTTCCTCTCTTCTCCTTACTCCTGCAATGTCCACCTCCGAAAGTGCTGCTGTGACCTTCACCACTGTGCCTTTGATACCTTGTGAGAAACTCCTCGGGGCTCCCAATTATTCCTCTTGAGTAGCTGCTGTTGAACTTTGGTTCCAAGGACAAGGCCGCTCTGACCGTCTCACAACACAGGCTAAAGACATTGCTGCGGACAAACGAGACTATTGGAAGCAAGTTGATGCCTCCCTTTGCAGTGTTTTCTGGTTCTCCATTGATGCCAAACTGCAACATCAGTACCGTCCATTTAAAACCTGTTATGAGGTTTGGGATAAGGCTAACGAGTTTATTCCAATCAAGTTCACCGTCTCTATACAGTCATTGTCAACCTTATCTCCATCAAGAAACAGGACATGGATATGCAAAGTTACTTAGGTAACCTTGATAACTTGATGGCTGAATTTAATGCTCTTATGCCATTTACTAGTGATGCTGAAAAACATGCCCAACAGTGGAGCAAAGTCTTCATGGTGCTTGCTCTTCATGGCCTTCCTCCAGAACACGACTCTGTTCGCAATCAAGTTTTTTTAGTCCCATATTGCCATCATTTGACTTTATCTCTGAGCAGCTGCTACGCATGTCCACTCTTCCATCATTTGTGGCAACCCCACTTCCCCTCTTGATTCCTCTGCACTCTTGCCAAACTCCTTTCCCCCTTGCAGTCGTGGGAGGAAACGTGGTAACACCTATTCTTGTCCGCATCCTCGTTGTGCCTACTGCAAACGTTTTGGCCATCTTGAGACTTAGTGTCACACCAAAGGTCAGAGCCCATAATCCTAGTGTGAATCTTGCCCACATGCCATCTCTAGCTCCTACCGTACCATCTCATATTCCTGTGCCTACATTGGAATACTAGGACTATCTTCTATACAAAGTCACCATACAGTCAGATCCACTACCAACCCCCAGGCCGCTCCACCGGTTGCCTCTGTAGCAGAAATAGGTACTCCTGTTACTTGCATTTTCCAGTCTCCATCCCTTGGTCCTTGGGTTCTTGATTCTGGCAGCTCTGATCACATGTCTGGTAATGTTTTCCTTTTCTCACAATTCACTTATCTCGATTATCTTCCTCTTGTCACTTTAGCTAATGATTTTCAAACCAACGTCATTGGCATTGATAATACTACCCCTATCCCAGGTCTCTCTTTAGAGTTAGTTTTATTTGTTCCAAATTGTCCCTTCAATTTCATTTTCGTTAGTAAACTTACTCATTCGTCCACTTATTCAGTTCTTTTCACTAATAACTCTATTTTTGTGTAGGATTGAACTAACGGACAGACGATTGGAGTAGGATATGAATCTCAAGGATTGTATTATCTTACCGCACTGGCTCCAATTGCTTGTTCGGCTATCGAATCCCCTGCTCTTTTTCATCAACAATTGGGTCATCTGAACCTTCAAAAACTATAGATCATGGTTCCACACTTACTCAAAGCATCCACTATAGAATACGAGTCATGTCAGTTAGAAAAACATATTCAAGCTTCTTTTCCGAGTCATGTCAATAACAGAGCTGTCTCTCCTCTTTATTTAGTCCATTCGGATATTTGGAGTTCAAGTCGTATTACTTCTTCCTTAGGATATCAATATTTTGTCACTTTTATAGACAATTTTTCTCATTGCACTTGGTTATTTCTACTTAAAATTGTTCTGACTTTTTCTCTATTTTTCGTTCCTTTGCTTCTGAAGTACAAACTCAATTTATCAGTAAAATTAGAATCTTATAAACTGACAATGCTCACGAATACTTGTCTTCTGCTTTTCAGTCTTTCTTGTCTAACTAGGGTATTCTGCATCAGTCCTCCTATGCCCATACACCACAACAAAATGGTGTTGCTGAACGAAAAAATCGTCACTTAGTTGAAACAGCTTGCACTCTCCTTTTCCACTACAAAGTACCACTCCAGTTTTGGGGAGATGCTATCCTTACTGCCTGTTTTTTTAATAATTACATGCCATCTTCTGTCCTCGACAATTAGGTACCTCATTCCATTTTGTTTCCTGCCCAACCTCTTTACTCTCTTCCTCCTCGGATTTTTAGGTCCACCTGCTTTGTCCATGAACTTTCTCAAGGACGTGACAAACTCACTGTCAAATCACTCAAATGTCTCTCTTGGGATACTCTTGTCTTAGAAAGGTTATCAATGTTATTCTCCCAACCTCCACTGTTACCTAGTTTCTGCTGATGTCAGTTTCTTCAAAAGTTGTCCCTTCTTCTCCGCTTCCTCTGACACTGCCTCTCATTTTGATATCATTTCTTCAGGTACTACTACTCCTCCACCTGCTCCTACCCCTATACTCTCTCCTCCTCCACTTCTCACCTACCATAGAAGGCCTCACCCGATTCCTGCACAACTGCAATCGGAGCACATTCCTCCCGATTCATCTTTTAGTCCAACCGCCTCTCCAACTCCTGGACAGGAACTCCCTATTGCTTTGCGCAAAGGTGTCAGGTCTTCTCGTAATCCTAATCCTATTTATGCTTGTCATTTGAATTATAATCCTATATGTCTTTCCTACCCTACTTTTGTGTCCTCCCTAGATTCTGTGTCTATCCCACAAACTATAGATAAGGCGTTGTCTGATCCCGACTAGCGAAATGCAATGAGAGATGAGATAGCTGCCTTACACTCCACTGGCACATGGGACCTTGTTTCTCTCCCTCTCGGCAAGACCACTGTTGGCTGTCGTTGGATTTATGCTATTAAGGTTGGCCCTGATAGAACTATTGACCGCTTAAATGCCGGATTAGTACCCAATGGCTACACCTAGATCTTTGGACTAGACTATGGCGATACCTTTTCACCAGTAGCCAAGATTGCCTCTGTCCGTCTCTTCCTTGCTCTTGCTGTCGTACATCAGTGGCGCCTACATCAGCTAGAAATAAAAAATGCCTTTCTCCATGGTGAATTACAAGAAGTTTATATGGACCAGCCTCCTGGCTTTACTACCCCTGGCCCGTCTCCCTTGATTTGTTGCCTCCGACGCTCCTTGTATGGCTTAAAGCAGTCCCCATGTACTTGGTTTAGCCACTTTAATACTGTCTTACAACAGTTTAGCATGACTCGATGTGAGGCTAATCATTCTATTTTCTTTCTCCACTCTTTAGAACATACCAGTATCTATTTAGTGGTATATGTGGATGATATTGTTATCACTGGCAGTGAGTGGATGTGCATCCAGCGCCTCCAACAACACTTGTCCCTATATTTTCAGACCAAGGATCTCAGTCCTCTCAAATATTTCCTTGGCATTAAAGTTGCCCAATCCAGCCATGGGATTTCTCTCAATTAGCGCAAATATGTCTTTGATATTCTTACTGAAACTGGCATGCTTGACTGTCGTCTGACTGATTCCCCTATGGAGCCCAATATCAAGCTCCTTCCGGGTCAGGAGAAGCCTTTGAAAGACCCAGAAAGGTATCGACGCTTAGTTGATAAACTCAACTATCTCACCATCACTAGACCAGACATCACCTTTGCCGTAAGTGTAATCAGCCAGTTATTAAACACTCCTAGTACCAGCCATTGGGATGTTGTTCGCATTCTCAGATATATCAAACATGCACCAGGCAAAGGGCTACTTTATCAGAATAAGGGAAACTCTGTTATTGTTGGCTACTCTGATGCTGATTGGGCTGGATCACCATCAGATAGGCGGTCTACTTCGGGATACTGTATCTTTATTGGGGAAAACTTAATCTCATGAAAAAACAAGAAGTAGCACATCGTTGCTAGATCCAGCGCAGAAGTAGAATATCGTCCTATGACTGTGACCACGTGTGAACTTACTTGGCTAAAACAATTACTCCTACAACTTAAAGTAAAAGAGGTTGATAAGATGAAGTTAATTTGTGACAATCAGGCTGCACTACACATAGCCTCTAATCTAGTTTTTCATGAATGAACTAAGCACATAGAAATTGATTACCATTTTATTAGAGAAAAGATTCTCGCAGGAGAAATCGAGACAAGCTTTGTTGGTTCCAATGATTAGTTGGCGGACTTGTTACAAAATCCTTAAGGGGCCTCGAGTGGAATATATTTGTAACAAGCATGGTGCATATGATTTGTATGCCCCAACTTGAGGAGGAGTGTTGATATGTAAATATAGTAATTAGGTATGATGTATAATTATAGTAATTAGACCAGTAAAATAGCGTAATTACAGCTAATCTGTAAGTAATATAGATTTCTTTGTACATATATAAATTAAGATCCTTGGATCATATGCAATACACAGAAAACAAATTCAAGTTACAGATTCTATAATAATAATAATTGTAAATTACCAAGTAACAAATAATATTAGAACTAGAAGCAGCTTGAGTCCAAGTCATAACTTGTAAATTCCATAATAAAATAAGGAAATGACACCTAAAATTACTTCCTCAATTAGGAGACTAATTGATTCTACCGTACAGATGACATTCGCAAGCATGAGTAGAAACAAGAGAGTCCAGAATGACGAATTTTTGTGGGAGATAGATTTAAGAAAAGGTAAGGCTTACTAGTAATATGATCAGAAGCAACAAGGACAAAAATTTAGTAACGAGTAAGCAAAAACTAAGAAAAACAAACTAAGGAATTACCATATTGGTATAGTGAGGCCTACGAAATCTGAGTGATTCAGTTGAAGATACTCCTTATACTTGTCTGATGGGAAAATCTTATTTTCTTCAGAGGATTCATCCTTTTTCTTAACAAATAGCACTAGGGATTGAGATACATTAGCAGACAACTACCGCAACCCCTCTTCTTTTAACGACTATGTCCTCCTCCATAGCCACAAAAATTTGTTACAAAGGCACCAGCTTTGTTTGAGAATAAACGTTGGAAGATTCTTAAATTGACCAGACACAACAAATTATCAACAAGTTCTTTAACAACAAAAATGTTTGGATTCAGTAGATTTGACTTTGAATGTTATTAGGATCCTTATGAAGGTCACAAAGAACAAAAGCCATATCAAATTCATACAACACTTTAATCAAGGTTTATGATTGTTTGCCGAATACTCAGAGCATTGCCATTTCCCAATGGAAGTATGCTTTGGACATTCTTACTAAGACCAGTATTTTTTATTGTCGTCCATGTGATACTCCTATGGATCCTAATGTTAAGCTTCCCATGGATTGAGGGCAGACAATGAAAGACCCAAGAAGAGATCGGTGTCTCATGGGTAGACTTAACTACCTTTCCGTCACTAGACTAGACATCACATTTGCAGTTAGCGTAGTAAGCTAGTTTCTAAATGCCCCTTGTGATAGCCACTGGGATGCTGTGATAAAAATTCTTCGGAACATTAAAAATGCACTTGGACGAAGGCTATTATTATATGAAAATAAAGGTAATGCCAGAATCAATTGTTACTTTGATACTGATTGGGTATGATTACCATTAGACAGAAGATTCACTTCTGGATATGATTAGAGGAAAATTGATTTCGTGGAGGAAAAAAAAAAAAAAAAAAAAAACATAGTTGCAAGATTTGGTGCTCATGCTATGGCAGCAGCCGCATATGAGCTTATATGGTATAGCCAATTACTTCAACAATTAAAATTGGGAGGCAAAACTTATTTGCCATAATCAAGCTGCACTTCACTTTGCATCACATCCAATCTTCCATGAACAAACCAAACAGATAGAGATAGATTGTTAGTTTGTAAGAGAGGTGCTTGCAGGCAAAATCATAACTGGTTTTGTCCACTCTAATGATTAGTTGGCTGACATGTTCACTAAATCCCTCAAAAGTTCTCGTGTTGACTACATTTTTGACAAGCTTGGGTCATTTGACTTATATGCTCAAGCTTAAGGAGGAGTGTTAGAAAACAATGATCACAAAATAAGGGATATGATTAGATATTGATGACTGTGCAGTGGGAAAATTGGAATAAGGGGGAAAATTGATGACTGTGTGGAGTGGTTTCTCCAATGAAAAAACTCAGACAGCCAAAATTTTCCAGTGGAGGCACCCAAGGGCCGACTATAGTGATCAAGGAACTTAGGACTGAGTTCCAACCTTGACAGAGGTTGGAATAGAGATGCACAACAGTGAAAAGATCAAATCACTCTGATACTAAGTTGATATCCAGAGAAAGTAGGACACATTTTTCATAAGATGTGTTAAGATGTCTCGCATTAGCTAGGAATAGAACCAAAATACTCCTTATAACTTATAAGAGCTTGTGGAGTCCTCCTATAAACAAGCCTTTGGGAGTGAGTTAAGCTCGAGTTTTTTAACAAGATGCTTGAATGATGAATGCACCCAGCCCATTGACTTTATATACAAAATAATGACAGAGAGAAGTGAATACAGAATGCAATTTATAAGGAAAAATAACTAGGCTACTTAGCTTAATTCTATTTCCTATGTTACAATGAATCTAGACTAGTGGAAGTGGTACCAATTTAGTATTACATAGATATCAACAAGAGAATGAACTCAATGTGGCAGAAATGGTAAGAATGCCACAATGGTTAAGTGGGCATACACATACTAAACAAGATAGGATTAGAACCTAACGCATCAAGCAAAAAATTGGGGTAGTGCCTATTCTACAAAAGATGATACAATCTCACTTTAGGTGGTTTGGCAGCACCAAGGCATCCAGAAAAACTATAAATAAAAGAATTAAGAACGATTTCGAGGTCAATAACTTGTTTATAGACACATTTCACAACAGAAATTTATGGTTTCATAGATCAAATCTATGAAGCCAACTCCATCTAGTGGGAAAATGCCCAGTTGTTGTTGTTTCCAACATTGCGTATTCATTGGGAATAATCTAATTTCCAAGTATAAAAAGACTTAGGCCAAATGGGAGAACATTGGATGGAAGTTTTTTGTCTTATGCCTTTGCCTTTAGGCAATAAGAGTGAGCTGCAGGATCCACAATCAATTATTGACTCGATATGGATAAAGTTGCTTAACCCATTCGTTAGAATGTAAAGGTGGTTTTCTCACTAAATACCAGCAGTATGAATAAGGTACAAAAGGAACAACAAAGATCAGAAACTGCAAATCATGAAAGCCTAAAGGATTTAGAAGGCCTAGTTTGGTTCTTGTGAAGATGTCTTCTCTATTGAAAACAAAAGAGTGTGTTGTGTGGTGGTTATTTTCATATTAGTTTATCACTTTGCAGCTGGGGTTTAGTGGAGGAAGTTTCCTATGAAGTTTTTGGGACATTTGTGGTGGTTCTCTTTATGTTTTATCTATTTGAAGTGTTTGTTTTGTAGTTTCCAATGAGGGGCTTTACACTTTTTTCTTCAGCTTTGTGGTTTCTTGTGGAGCACACCTGGTCTTCTATTTTGTCCCTCTGATCTAACAATATTTCTATTTTTATCTAAGAAAATGGAATCATAACCAACATAAATCAACCAACATAAATCTAGCCCAATCATGTGAAATCTTTTGATCATTTATGCTTATGTTTCCCAGTGGTTTTACTTCCAAACTATTGATAACCTTGTTTGAAAACAGCCAAAATAGTTTTTCTTGGTGCATGCATATGACTAGATAGCACATAAAAAACCCCTATAAATTTATACACAATTTTCTATCAACATGGAATACCCAAGAACGTGGAAATCCTTTATTCTTGGACATCCAACATTTCCAGATTTAAACAGAATGTTATCATATCAAAACAATATCATCCATTGTAACATCCTGCTCAAACATCCAGAAAATTGGTATTTTGCATTCCAACTTCAAAATATCAGCTGGCTAAATGCTATAATAAGTACGTAGTTGCCTAGTTTTTGAAACTATATCAAAACACTACTGGCAGATTATGTGCTCTGATCAGCACTAACAAGTAACAACATTCAAATTTATAGCTTCTGAACCAGTGTAACAATAGTATTGTCAAATCATTACCTCTTCACTAATTAGTATCATGCTCAGAATTGCTCTGCTAAGAGTCCACTGATTGCCACGGTCCTCCAATATAACAATCTCAAATAGGGTTCTCAATATCTAAGGAAAATGTTGAAGACAAGTAAAGATGAAGACACACTTATATCAAGACATCAATAGAGTAAGCCGCATTACTGCAAACTGCATACTATAAGTAAATGAAAAATGAATATTAGCATCAATCTAATCACAACCTTACCCTAGAGAATAGCTCAGCAAAATCAGAAATGAGTCCAGCTACATTAACGGCAGCAGGTGAGGTTACTGACTCTCCAACAGTAACATGGGTGAAATAAAACGTTGCCAAGTTGTCAATAGCATAGGCACACTACATGCACAAAAAGGATAGTTAGTTTAAGCAAGTACACAATGACATCTTATAAGAAATTGCGCTTAGTTTACCAATTCATAAGCATATAAAAATCAATATTTAGTTTATGAACAAAAACTTGTATTGAAAACCAGTAATAACATTAGTTGAATTATCCCAACTATGTAATATGCCAAGCTTTTATAAACCTGTGACGATATTTTTTCACTTAAATCTTTAAGGCCTGATTCAAGAGATCCAATGACAAGCATAAATGCAGATTTATCCAAACTCAGAACAAATGACAAATGACCATTGAAGAGAGTCTCCAAGAATGCAAAGTATGCCGCTGCAACCTGCAAAATAGTCCAGAATAAAAAAAAAAAAAAAAAAAAAACTAGTAAACTTTAATATTTTCTATATCATCAGAAGCTACAGCTGCAATTTGCTGTGATCAGGACACAATGTCTTAAGTTTTCTATTCTAGCTAAACTCTGCTACCATAGTTTTCAGTTCTTTCATAACAAGGCAATTTTTCTTTAAGCTATTATTGAGAAAGAAGAATGAAAAAAGTAGGATAAATCCATGAGTCTTGACTACACAATGGAACATATATATAATAGGGATCTTTAATAAAAAATGAACAATTATATAATTACCATAATTACAAAGATACTAATTTCCTTATTTACAATATTATTATAATTACATAGTTCTAACACTCCCCTCAAGTTGGCACATATAAATCATATGCACTAAGTTTGTCGCATATATAACAAATTTGAGAACCTCTTAAAGAGTTGGTATAGACATCTGCTAGTTGATCATGAAAATTTATGAAGTTAACAGTGATGCCTCAGGATAAAACCTTCTCTCTAACGTGATGCCTTTAGGGATTGCTCAAGACTATAAAGGGATTTCCAAAGATGACAAACAAGTCCTGAAGACTCGCCTTGAGCAACAAATCTCGGAGGTTGCTCCATATGTTCTTTTACAAAATTACCATGAAGGAAAGAATTCTTCATACCAAGTTGAAAAATAGGCCAGTGACGGATAGTAGCCATAAAAATGAGTAGTCAAACATGTCGTTTTAGGTATAGGGGAGAACATGTCACCGTAGTCCGAGCCAATATTTATGTATAACTTTTGGCCACCAAACGAGCCTTAAGACGATCAATATAACTGTCAAGACCAACCTTGACCATACAAATCCACCTACAATCAACAAGTGACTTCTTAGGAGGAAGAGGAACAAATTCTCAAGTACCACAATTCTGAAGAGCACACATTTCATTAATTATCACTTGCTTTCAACCGAGATGGGAGAGTGCATCACTTGTAGACTAAGGAATAGAAATAGGGGACAAGGAAGACAGACAAGTATAATGCGAAAGAGACAAACGATGGTAAGTCAAAGAAACATAATGAAGAAGGATTATGGATAGAGCAAATACCTTTACGAAGACCAATGGAAAGTTCAATTTCAGGAGTCCTGAGGACAAAGGGTGAGTGGTACCAAAAGTGAGTCAGACGAAGGTCCATCAAACACTTGTAGTGGTACAAAAAGTGGCTAGCAACGGTGATACAATTGTAGAGGACATGAAGGAGTTGGTCCTGCTAAAGCTTGAAATGGTTCTAGTGGAAGATAGTGGAAAGGAACAAAAGCTAGAAGAGGGAAAGTAGACTCTAAGACTGAAGCAAGAGGACTAGGTGTCAAGAAAGTGACATCAGCTGAAACTAAATAGCATCGAAAAGCTGGGGAATAACACTTATAACCTTTGAGACTAAGTGTAATGAAGAAAAACACATTCGTGAGAGTGAGTGGAGACTTTATCAAGCCCGAGACTGTCGTTATGAACAAAGCAGGTTGACCCAAAGACTCGAGGAGGTAAAAGGTGAAGGGCTTAGTGAGTACTGAGGATATGACAAGGTGAGGAAATTGGTTTCGAAGAAAAGAGGACAACACTTTATTAATAAGGTATCACGCAATAAGAATAGCATCACCCAAAAAGTGATGAGGGACTTGACTATGACACAATTGAGTACGAGCAGTTTTAATAAGATGTATATTTTTTTGTTCAACCATCCTATTTTGTTGTGGAGTATGAGTACAAGAGGTTTAATGAAAGATATTGTTAGAAGCCATAAAATTTTGAAATTGATTAGATAGTTATTCACAACCATTATCACTTTGTATAGTATAAATTAGAAAACCAAATTAAGTTTTAATTTCAAGAAAAGAAAGTTATAAAAATTGAAAATAACTCATAACGATCTTTCATTAAAAATAATCAAGCATATCTAAAATAATCACCAATAAGGTAACAAAATTTTTTATCTCAACTAGTAAAAGAACTACAAATATGTTTTCGTATTTGACACGAATCACATAAAAAAATAGATAATTTGAAAACACTTAGTACTAGTTGTTGTAATTTGGTTGAAAAGGATGTCCTAAGTATGAATAAGAAGAGGAGAATCAACTGCCAAATCAGCATGAGCAGAAGTATTTAACAAGTAGTAGAGACTATAAGACTCACATTTGATGTCAATCATCCTCCCCAAACTTTAGTCCTGATGAAAAACAAAATCTTTAGTGAAAATTATACAATCAAGAAAATGTGAGACGACTCATAGATAGTAAGTTAAAAAGGCATCTTGGAACATAAAAACATGATCCATGGAGAAAGAGGGAAAAGGGTGGACACTACCAACACCCTAAGATTGCGTGTGGGACCCATTAGTCATAGTGACAAAGGATAAATAATCAGATGTAGAAAAAAAAAGATTCGAACCAAAGTCCTAGTGCTCCTCAAACTATTGAAGAAAGTCACTATATGTAGGTGATGGTGGCACGGTCCAAGGTGCAGAGTCAAAAGGTGTGGAATGTACAATGTTAAGAGAACAAGCACGATTACTACTTTGTGAGACTAGGGTAGAGGAGTCTGAAAAAGTAGAAGTAGGAGACATCCATAGAAGTGGATGGGGTTTTAGCTAATACCCGTAGCAAGTGGACCGTGTAGAATGCATATTGGGTACCATAGACAACTCCAAAATTTGATCGCGAATAACATAATAGTCTTTTGGTAAACCATACAAAGCAAGTAACATAAAAAGTTGTTAACGATTTTCACAATCCTTACCTATTGTGGTAGTAAGAGGCAAGACTTCATTCAAGTCATGGAGAATGTTGGTCACTAGACACAAATATTTAGTCATGGAGCCATCAAATCGTTAAGGAGCAAAAACATTCATGAAATTTTGACAAAACCCATAAAGGTGCTGAGTGTCATTGATATACAATTCTTTAACCTGTGTGCAAACAGAATCACGTCTAATGAGGGTGAAAATTTTGCATCAAAGAAGGATGAATGGTAGATTTGATGACACTAAATAACTAAGCATCAATTTCACTTCATTTAGATTGTTCAGCTGCATCAATGGAGTCCTCCTTAGCAGTGAGATGATCAACGTGACCTTGATCTTTTAACCAAAGTTTCATGTTGGAAGATCATGTGGTGTAATTACTCCCATCCAACTTTTCCAAGGATGGAGGGGCAGTAACATAGTTGCTAGAAACAAGGGTGTCTGCCTTCGGAGGGGTAGAGGTGGCCATGGGGCAGTGTGAACAGTAAAGAAGTGCAAAAAACGAGTGATCTGTAACCTAGAGAAGAAAGCACAGATGGGAGTACAGCAGCCTACGGAGACTCCAATGAAACAAGCAGCAGCCAGAAACAATGTCGGACATGCCACCTTGCACTGGCAGTGGTGCAGCGAGGAGAGAGAATACTGAAGAGTAGAAGCCACATGTGAGGGGGCATGGGACCTTCAATTGGTGCAAAACTTCAGGACAGGCTGAATTGAGCAAGGCAAACAAGATCCAACGGTGGTTGTTGGAAAAAAAAAAAAAAAAAGCATTGGAAAACTCATTGAAACAGTACAAGTGGTAGTTCAGTGTCCAAAGGACCGAAAACTGATTAAGGACAGTTTTTGGAAAAAAAATTTGCACCAGTGAGCAGTGGGCCCACTGGGTAATCACGGATTACCTCACATTAAACTCTAGATACCATGTTCAGAGAGAAAAATGACAAACAGAAGATGAATCCATGTGTCTTTACTACAAAAGCGGAATATATATTTATAATAGGGATCATTAATATAGAATATACAATTACATAATTACTATAATTACAAATATACTATTTTCTCTATTTACAACATTGCTATAATTACATAATTCCAACAGCTATACTTCAGAAAAAAAAACCATATAAACATTAGGACCAGCCCAGCCCCTGTTAACAGGATAAAGCAAAAAGGCACATACCAAACACAATGTACATGAAAAAAAAAAAAGATCAAATATTTGTATACAGTTGACTTTCAAAGAATTTAGGACAAGCAAACCAAATAGTAATTCAAAACTGCTTGAATAATCATTACCTCAAAAATTGAAAAATTAAACACTTAAGTAGACAAATAGAAATATTGCATATAAGGTTTACTAACTAAATGTGTTTGCAGTAATGGACATGTATATATTGCAAGTTACCATACAGTTCGAAGCAACCAGAGTAAAGCACTTCTACTGTTAACCAACATAGTAGAGACCATCATAAAGGATGAGTAATACCTTCCTAAATGCAAATATATCAGCCAACGGAATTGATAATATCATCTTTATAGTGATATCAAGAGCATCAACAAGTGCTCTATCACCATAAAGTTCAAAAATACCAAAGTTGACAAAGTTCCCCGATAGTGCTGCCACAGAAAAGGCAAATAACCACAATAAAACCCATCAGCAATGTAAATATATGAAACTCAAAATGTTCACTCAATTCTTTTTTGCTTCAGACACCAAAAAAATGGATAAAAAGATAATATTATAAATAAATGCAAGTGTCAATGAAGTAATTGACTATTATGTAACCAAGCCTCTACAATAAATAAAAGCATACTAATAATTTATCCGGTCACTTCTATCACCTTTTACAATACATACATTTCACATACCTGTAAATAATTTTCATATTGGTGAAATAAGACTGCATGTATATTATTGACAAAAGTACTTAAAAGGAGTGTTAAGAAACTTGAGCCTAACTCACTCCTAAAAGCTAACTCATGGGAGGAGGACTACCCTAGCCCTTATAAGGAATATTCTGGCTTTATTCCTCACAAACATGAGACTTCTTAACTAATACAAACCGATAAAGATAAACGAGAAATTTAAAAGGAAAAGAGGAAAAGAAGCTGATATTACTTGATATATAAAAGGAAAAATCAGTAGAATGGGTACTACTGCCCAAAGCTAGGCTCCTACAGAGAGCTAGTGCCCTCCCTCCATAACTAACTTCTTGATTTCCAAAACGATACTCTCTCACACACACCCACCCCACTACTATAATAGACTCCTTCCATAGCTAACCACTTATGTCTCTCTCTCCCACGTCACCTTCCTTGCCTATACACTTCTTTCTTCTAGTGTAAACCTTGGCCCCATTTGAGCCTATAGCCCTAACATTAACACTGTTAAGAAACTTGAGCCTCACTCACTCCCAAAAGCTAACTTATAGGACGATTACCCTAGCCCTTATAAGAAATATTCTGGTTCTATTCCTAACCAATGTGGGACATCTTAATACATCCCCCTCACGCCTAAGACTGGACATCTAATGCGTGCAATTTACAGGACTGGACATCTGCATGGGTGGCCCAAGAGGACGGGACATTTGTGGGCAGCTCAACATTCAAACTAGATAGGCTTTGATACCATATTAAGAAACTTGGGCTTAACTCACTCTCAAAAGCTAGCTCATAGAAGGACTACCCAAACTCTTATAAAGAGTATTCTGGCTCTATTCTTAAATAATGTAAGACATCTTAACAAGGAGCAAGTAGGAAAAGCATTTAATTGAGTGAAAACCATAAAAGGATATTTAGAATATAATATGATAAGATAATTATGAAAAGCAGGTTGGAAGATTGTAGCTCTAAAAAATGGATTTACCATTTTGATTTTAAAATAGATCCGGTGGAAAAATGTTTCATAGATCTAAAACTAGGTGACTTCATGCTTCGAAAAGAACAGTCTAATCTGCTACAATAGAAATATAGTAATATGTCATAGTACATACTTACCCCGTGTAAGAATTACCAAACAAATTGACATCCCCTTGTATTTGGATGCATACATGTCTGCCTTATTAGGAATAGGTAAAATTCTTGAACCATAAGCAACAATCAGTTTACTGACTTCTCGGAAAAGCAGTATCCCATTAGGAGAAGAAGAATCAAAAATCAATCGCTGTGTTCTGTTGAGCACTAGTTCAGCCATGAATTTTAACAATGGAGTTGTTACCTGCATCATGTTTTTTACATCAAACATCCCTCCATCAGGACAATAACTATCTTTAAGAAATATTGGAGGCAGATTTTAACATGGCAGTTTAAGCATTAACTCTGTATTCAACAATATGAGAAAATAAAATAGTCATATTGATCAGAAGATGTATAGGATCACTTTAGACATGACAGTTTTGTTACATTAAGAAGGAACAAGGTACATCAAGAATGCTATTGTCACAAAAGTTTCCCTTCAGATCCAGGTAGTTGGATCTCTATTAACAGTTATAACTTGGTGAAATTTGAGGCTTGCTTCAAAAGGTTACACATCAAAGAGGCTTTGTAATTGTAATTGGTAAAGTAATTTTAATATGAGTGACAGTCCCAACTACTTCTAAGTTCTAATGCAGTCAGGGATCGCAGATTTTCCTGACTCCATATTTCATTTTATCTTGAGATAAAAGAAACAAAAATGTAAATGTCTGACTCCAATATGTGTGAAGTCAGGAAATGTGTCAAAAGAAGGAAAAGAGTACAATAAGAAATATTCTCACATTCAAGAATGAGGACTAAGATTTTTAAAGTCAAATTAAGATGAAAATATTATCCCTTGAAAAGAAAATGTTAAATGATGCACCTACATATTATGAAAGTAAAATTAACGTGATATAATTATTCCTTGAAATGCATCAGTATGTGATCACTCTATAATTGGCAGTATATGGATAAGCATACCTCTGGAATATCAGCATAGTGTGCAATGCCTTTCAGAAGAAGTGGCAAGTGTGCAGGATAAAGCCAATCAAAAAAGAACCCATATGTTCTACGACTGTTAAAAAGAAATCAAAATAAATTAACACAGTTGACAAAAGAATAGAGCCTTTGCAAACGAGTTTAAGACGTTTTAATCAGTGCCAACCTATTAGTTGCCATAGCTATTCCTCGAAGGTCCCGCATCAACCCAATGAATGTGTATTTTACAGCATCTGATTGGAACAATGCATCAGGTGTTGATTCCAATCTTAGCAAAACCTTATTATAAAAAAAATAAAAAGGAAACATCAATCATAATGTAAAATAATCAACAGGACCTCCCAATAATCAATAATATACTGCCGGTACTGTACTATACATCGCATGCATTTTCCTGGCTACATTTTATATTTCTAAACAAGTTAGGCATGATGTAATGGAGGTGCAACAAGCATCATTTTCACAACACTTCATGAAGACAAAACCTTGTTAAATAATTATTGAATTATGGCAAAAAGGAGTAACGAGAACCAGAAAATATTTTGAGTTCGAAGATTTATTCGTATTAGTAGTAGTTTGCAGTTAAATCACAGCCAAAGGGATGGACAAGGGTACATATTCAGACCTTTATTTGTTGATAGTTGCCAGCAGAATCTTCCGTATGGTGAAAAAGAAAATTATATCCATAGAAATCAGATGAATATCTTTCAAAAGGATTTAACCAGTTGACTCAACTACATAAAAAGACTAGAAAAAAGGCAAATAGAACAAACTAAATCCTCTAAAATTCCATGATGTAATTTCTTTAATACTTGAGAAATTGAAACAGAGACACAATCAAAACAAATTGAACATGAATGGTGGGTAGCAAATAAACACTTCCAACCTGTAGAAAAGGTTCCATTGAAGATTTAAATTTCAGTGGGCTATCTTCCAAGAATATCAGCATGCCAATAGTATAATACATGGTTGTTCTGCTACGAAAACATTCCCAATTTTCTATAAAAGGGAATTGCTCCCTCTGAAAAAGAAGATAATTTTTACCATTAGAAATATGTTGATATGAACAAGCATATATGCAGAAATCAAAAAATAAATTTCTTAGTCAGTAAATATGCATGTTTCCTTTTGCCCCTGCACTTTAAAATACTACAGATGTAATTTCCTGCATATAGAATTTTGAAATTAAAACACTAGACTCAACTCATTTGCTGGACAAAAAACTAGAAAAGAAAAGCTATTTTCAAGCCAGTTTGCATGTAAGATATATAGAGGAATTGCAAAATTTTGTTGTACTGGTGAGGATATTTCATTATTCTGTTCAGGGAATATAACATCCCCTTTTTTGTACCATTCCAATCCTCTTTCAACATGTCATATTACACACACATATACACACATATATTGGGTGGAATCAGTACCATTTTTTCAGGTTATAAACAATAAAAAAATGAAATATTGAATTAATGTAATGTAATCCTATATATTAGTGGATAAATCAAATCAAAATTGGTTGGTTTTTTTTATAGATGATCAGCTTCAACATTAGGTGGTTAATTTAAAGGATAAGTACTTAGATAGTAATAGTTCACTTTCACGCAGTCAGTATAATAACAAATTCAACAATTAGGGATATGTAATGTCCTAATATATTGCAGGTGCCTAATATATCTATATCTTCCTCATCCTTTCATTCATTTCTCTTGCATAAAAAACAAACTACAATTTTAACCAAGCTTGTTGGTTGATATATGTGTGTGCAATATAGGTTTCATGTATTTAAATTTCAAGTACAACATTTTTATCTTTTGGTAATCATGTCACATACCAAAATGTCAGACATATTAAATGTACAGAAAATAATTTTGAGTATAATTAATCGGAATCCAATTTTGACAATGAAAGTACAGTGTGACGCTTGAAGAGAGGAGCTTATGGTCATATTATGGTAACACATTAAGTTAACATTCTTGAAGTATAATAAAGGTGCAAGTAAAGCCAATATAGACCTTCCCTCTTTCCAACCATTTTCATTGTCAATTGCATTGCCTCACCATCTTTGGTCATGGCTAGTGCCCATCACCTTTTCTGCCACATTCACATTGCCATGTGAGTCCATAGACAGGGGTTGGGTTTGAAGCTCATCGGAAATATGCAATTATAGTAATGTCATAAATAGGAAAGTTAATATCTTTGTAATTAGGGTAACTAGATAACTGTATATTTTGTTATTTAATATAGGCATTAATTATTTCTATTATAAATAAATATTCCACTGTGTAGTTTAGACACACACATTCATTGTGTCTCTCACTCGTCTTTCATCTCAACTTGATAAACTCTCACTTGCTATTCTCCAATCCTTCGCTGTTATCTAGTCTCGATGTTTCTTTCTTTGAATCTGTCTTTTTCTCTACCCAAGTCCTTCAGCTTCTGTTTGAGTCTATTTCTTTACCTCCTCTCATCTCTATACTTTCCACTATCCTCCACCAGCCTCATCTCCTACTCCTGAAGAACCATCTCCTTCACGTCCTTTGCAAGTGTATCACCTTCAGCATCAGCCACCACCTATGCTACCTACACCTACTGACCGGCCTCCTCTAGACTTGCCTTCATGTCAATTCCCTATGCTCAACTTGTAATCTATCTCCTCATTATGTTTCTTTCACTTGCCATCACTTCTCTCCCTTTTATTATACTTGCCTATCTTCTTTGTCTTTTGTTTCTATTCCTAAGACTACAATGCTCTCTTACATCCTGGTAGGAGAAAGACAATGCTTAACAAAATATGTGTCCTTTAGAACAGTGGTACTTGGAATCTTGTTCCTTTTCTTTATAGGAAGTCTCTAGTGGATTGCAGGTGGATTTACACAGTCAAAGTTGACCCTGATGGTAAAGTTAATCAGCTTAAGGTTCACATGGTAGCCAAAGGTTATACGCAGATATTAGCTTAGACTATGACACTTTTTCTCCTATTACCAAAATGACATTTATTCAACTATTCTTGTCTATGGCTGTTATCCACCATTGGCCTCCATATCAGCTTGATATCAAGAATCCTTTCCTTCAAGGTGATCTTGCAGAGAGCAACCTCTTGGATTTGTTGCTCCAGGAGAGTCTTTCAGACTCTTGTCTATCATCTCAGGAAATCTTTATATGGTTTCAAACAATCTCCAAGGGCATAGTTTGGTAGGTTTAGCATAATGGTTCAGCAGTTACGTATGACTTGATGTGAAATTGATCAATTAGTTTTCTATCATCATTCTGCCTCAGGTTGTATTTATGTGATTATGTACATTGATGACAGTCATTACAAGGAATGATCACGGTGGCATTGAACAAGTAAAGCAACACATTTCTCACCACTTCCACACAAAAGATCTTGGTAGACTTAGATAAGAGGTTTACATCTATCTATTTCATCCTCATTGGTGGTAATCTGATTTTCTAGAAAAGTAAAAAGCAAAATGTGGTTGCACGGTCTAATGCAGAAGTGGAGTATCAAGTCATGGCTTTAGCTGCTTGTGAACTTATTTGACTTAAACAATTGCTCAAAGAATTCAGATTTAGGGAAGTTATACGTATGACACCTTTTTGCAATAATTTGCAAATTGCCTCAAATCCAGTTTTTCATGAGACGACTAAATACATTGAGATAGACAGTCACTTCATTAAAAAAAAAAATTCTTATCTAGAGTCATCACTACTAGCTTTGTGAATTCTAATGATAAACTGATAGATATCTACACCAATTCATTAAGTTGTCCTCATATTAGTTATATATGTAACAAGCTTAATGCATATGATTTATACACTCCAGCTTGAGGGGAGTGCCAGAAATATATAATTATAGTAATGTTGTAAATAGAAAAATTAATATATTTATAATTATGGTAATTGGGTAACTATATATTTTGTTATTAAATTCATGTATTAATTATTCATATCTATGTTGCATGGACACGGGTACGGTACTGGTACTGGGTACGGGATACGTCAATTAAAATCATAATAAATAAATAAATAAATATATATATAGACACATAAAATTGTACAAAATAAATATAAAAAAATTGTATATAAAATAAAAGTACACAAATTTTAGCATATTTGTGGCTTGCCATTGTCGAAAGAGATGGTCACCAAACTTGCCACCATTGTCATTTGTTGTTGTTGCTGTTTGTCGCTCACCAGTGAAAGTTGATGGTTGAGGTTTGAGATAAGAGGAGAAAAACTATAGTATGTAGTCTGCGGGTATGTGAAAGCTGGAGAAAGTACTGATATGTGGAAGTTGGAGGGAAGAAAGAAACAACTTAATCAGATTTTTGAAAAAAAAATACCTAAAACTCTAAAATTTTAATTAAAAAAAAATTTATTTCCCGTACCCAAACCGTACCCGCGTACCCACTTCCCGTACCCAACTTTTTTTTTTTTTTTGCAAATTTTTTTGGGTACGTACCCACTACCGGTACTTCATGGGAAGTGCCATACCCATGCTTCAGAGATTCCTATCATAAATCATGTTCCACTGCGTTTATCTTTATTCTCAACAAATCTCATATCTCGTGAGATCAATTTAGACAGGTTTGAGTCATTTTCTTGACATTCTTTGTGGTGGTTATATCTGATTGTGTCATTTGACACTTTATGGGTGATTATTTGTTCTTTTATAAGTGACTTTTCTACTAAGTAATGACTTCTATTACTGCTGACAATCAATCAGCCAGCCACTTTTTTGTTGTTTGTGACTTCTCTTTGAATAATCATTCTGGGCAAGTGATTGAATTTGTGATAGGGTCTCAATTGCAAGGTATGGGACTTGAGTTCAACATTGGATGTATGGATTCTAATGTGCGGTTTATAAGGCTTTGGGCTCTGCAGCTACAATAGCTATCTTTGGTGTGGTTCTCTCAAGGTTCATATCAATTGGTATCATAGTCTGCCACGTCTCTCAGCTTCAATTGAGCAGCAAGGGTGGTGACGTTGGCATTGCAGGGTTTGCACAGGACTAGTCAAGGGCATAGTACACAGCCAACCTTTGTGGGTGCTGGTGCTGCAGAGTATGGTGCGATGTTAGGATCCCAATTGCAAGGTATAGGACTTGAGTCCTACATTAGAAGTATGGGATTCTAATGTGGGTTTATAAGGCCTTAGGTTCTCCAACTACAACAGATAGCTTTTGTGTTGTGGTTCTCCAACTACAACAAATAGCTTTTGTGTTGCGGTTCTCCAAATGCTCTTATCAACTAGTGTGACATTTTGAGGTCAAATATAGTCCCAAATTTTATTTCCAGGTTTATTGAGACTTGTATGTTTTTCTACTGTTTGAACGTTGAACCTTACAAATGTTGTATCATGTTGTGCATATAGGTTTGAAGTTTCCAAATATTGCATATGATCATTCTATCAAGGTTATACTTCCTTAGCCATGCAACATTCTGAACAACTATTGTGTTATCTTCCTACATATTAAGAAACTTGGGCCTAACTCACTTCTAAAAGCTGACTCATAGGAGGAGGACTATATAAGCCCTGATAAAGGGTATTTTGACTCTCTTCCTAGCTAATATGGGACATCTTAACACACCTCTCCCATACCCACAGCTGGAGATCTAGTGCGTGGTTTGGACTAGACATCTGCAGGTGGCCCAACAGGACTAGATAGACTCTTATACTATGCTAAGAAACTTGAGCCTAACTCACTCCTAAAAACTAGTTCATAAAAAGACTACACAAGCCCTTATAAAGGGTATTTCGATAATTCCTAGCCAATGTAGGACATCTTAACACTATAGTGCTTATCTCCTCAATGTCTCCAACCTCCTTGAGTTTCTTTGCCAACCATATGAAGTACACTTAAAAAAAAATTGTTTACTGTTCATAACAAGCATAAAGCTTAGTATATCTTGAGGAAGAGTGTCAAAATATCTAGAAAACATCTTATAGCATCATTATTGTAGCATAATATTTCAAAGTATGTTAGATGATCTCTTAGGAGTGGTTTCAATGTTTGTTATATTTCATGGTTGATTTCCTTACTTTATTTGGGATAGGAGCTTAGGACTAGTATAAATAAAGGTTACAGCTTTGCATTTTGTATCACATAAATTATTCACAAAATAAATCTATTTGGAGTTTTCATTCTCCCTTTTCTTTTTTCCTACATAAACTCTATAATTTCAAACAGTATAGCACACAAAAACAGAATAGCAACAAGGAGGTCAAAAGTGCATCTCACATTCTGATTTGAAATTATGTGTTTAACTGTATCAAGTTTAAGAAGCAGCTTTCCCGTCATGTATCTGCAATAAAACGAAGTCCTAATCCAATTAGATAGACAGCAACCAAAATATATAATTTATAAATATAAGATGGAACCAGACTAACCCAGATGTCATTTCCAGAAAGAGATTTAAGGTATGATCAATAACCTCTTTGCACTGCAAAAAGAGATTCAAAAGTTGTGAACTGAATAAAAGGATTGCAAAATATTATCTAGTTCACAATCCGTCACCTTTGTGTAGTACTTTAGATTTGTAGCAATCTTTCCTACAATGACACTTAGTAGTAGTAGATGATCATGAAGTCCAAGAAGTTCAGATAGTCGGGCATATAACTGCTGCAATTACAGTCCAGAAAAGCAAGAAAATGACATTACTGAACTTTCCTAAAAATATTTGAAATTTGAAAGAAAAATAACTTCCAACCCCTTACCTTGGAAGAAAGAACAGCCTGGTCACCTATATAACACCTTCTAAGATGTTGTAAGAAAGTTAGTATAGCACGATCAAGTCTTTGCTTGCTCACATCTCCACACCTCTTAAATTATCCAACAGTATCAACAAATATAAACATAAGAAGCTAAGGAATAGGACTAGACTTAGTCCGTTCAAGGAGGGCTTATTTAAAATGAAACACAACTACAACCTCTTACTAACATCCAAAACATAAAATAAAGAGAAAAAGAAATCTTTAAAATGAGTAACTAAGTAGGTAATTGGTGTATAAATTAAATTCTGAACCTGAAAAACCTAGGTAAGTAATTCGTCAAGCTCAAAAATATTAAAAAAAATCCTGAATTGTATCAAATTGACAAATTTTACTGAATAGCTCCTTTAAAATTTATATTAACAGTTTATGAAAATATTTATCAAAATCCAGTTTCGGCAAGCTTTTGCAAAAGTAATTATAGAAGAAGAAAATAAAGAGATATAATAAATAAAATCTTTCTCATAAGCTAAATCTCTTGTGCTCTTTTACCTTTGTAGAAGCTTTCCCAATCAACTTCTCCAAAACCTGAGATGCATAAGTTGATTTTGACTAATGAGATTGATTCTATTTAATTCATCTCCTTATTTTCTTCTCCTACAGGTACTTCTACAAAAGTTTATCCAAATTGGGCCCATATCTTAGATAATCTTCTAGGATAAGTTTCCTTATTCCCTCATTATCGCTTAGGCTTGGTTACTGTATTTTTTTTGTATTACCATGATTTGTTTTCTTAATTGATTAGGATTATAATTAGTTTTGATAATGAATAATGCTCTAGGTTTAATGAACAAAGTAATTTATTAATGAAATACATTTCAGTTGATAGCAATCAGTGTTGCATTCTCATTTATCTCTCTTTCCCTATACCTGAAACCTCACAACTCAACACAAACTATAAAGTTAAGAGGAGGACCAAAGATAAATTTAGAAGACATCATTAAAATGGATTTGCAATAGTTCCTACTTCCTCAAAGCTTGAATTGATCCATGACATATTCATAATTACAATAAGAAGTCTTAGCTCCTAAGCAAAACATACAAGTAAATAGCAACAAAAGTAAAAACTCCCCCAAAGTAATCAGGTAATCTGATTTTTTGGAAACACAGAAAGTAAAAGAATTGAGAACTTATTTGCCTTAAACAATAGCTCAAACAATTGAGATTTGGGAAGTTTCCACAAATGACACTCATTTGCAAGAATGGGGAAGCCATGCAAATGGCATCAAATCCATTTTTTCATGAGGACCAAACATATTAAGATAGACTGTCGCTTCATTAGAGAAAAAATATTTTCAAAAGCCATCACCACTAGCTTTGTTAATTCTAATGATCAATGTTCAAGTTCAAATATATTATACATGTTATGATTTACGTTGACAGGCATTAAATTTCTAGTTCTTCATTTAGGAGTAGTTCTTTGGCACAAACAGGTATTTTCAGTTTTCCGAGGACAAAGGGAAGCAACAAAAATTGTACTCATGCCTACTTTTTGGAATAATGGCATGTGCTTTGCCTTGTTGATAGTGACAAAAAACCAGCCATGGGTTATATTTATGAGGCAATGCAAATGGCTAACGAAGCTATTATGAGATCTTTTGAGAATAATGAAAGCAAATATAAGGAGGTTTTTGAAATTATTGATAAGAGATGGAGTTGTCAACTTCATCGCCCATTACATGCGGCTGGTTACTTCCTAAATCCAGAATTCTTCTACAAAAATCCCTCAATTAAAGTTGATTTTGAGGTGACAAATAGGCTGTATGCATACACTTAGCAGTTGGAGCCTACTTTGGAAGTGAAACAAAAGATTCTTGACGAGCTACGGATTTATAAAACTGAAATAAATTTGCAATTTCACAAAGGAACACAATTGCATCAGGTGAGAAACTTTATGAAATTTTCTCAATTCTAAATTTTAACCCTTGTTACGTGCATTATTGTATAATATTTATTTAGATTTGTAGCAGAATGGTGAGGAATGTATGGACTATCAACGCCAAATTTACACCAATTGGCTATAAAGATCTTGTGCTTGCCATGTAGTGCGTCGGGATGTGAACGCAACTGGAATGTGTTTGAGCAAGTAATTTACTAATTAACAATTAACTTAGTAGATAATAGTTTCTATACTTAGTCACTTAGAGAATTTGTTAATTTTTATTCAACTTATTGTTGCGAATTCATTCTAAAATGAACAAGCTTGAGCATAAAAGACTGCACAATTTAGTGTATGTCAAATATAACCAAGCATTGCTTAGAAGATACAATTTTAGGGATGAGATTGACCCAATCTCACTCAATGATATCGATGTGAATGGTAAGTTGGGAAGATGGATGTCGATGAAGATGATGCTGGGAATGAGAGGGTCTTTGAGAATAACAATGATAATATCCTTATTTGGGAAGATGTTTACATAGCTTCAGGAGTTGGAGAGCCTATAACATATACTAGGCAAAGATTTCAGAAAACAAAGAAACCCCCTAATGTTGTTGGTGCTGCATCTAAGAGAAAGAAAGGTTTGGCAAGTGCATCTTCATCCAAAAATGGAAAAGAACATATGGCTGAAGTTGAAGATACTGCAGTCTTGGAAGAATCAGAAAAAGAATTAGAAGACAATCAAGACATTGATTTAGAAGAAGTTGAAGGATATGACTCACTATCTAACAATGAGAATGATAATTATATAGGGAAAAAAAGGGAATGAGAATGACTGAATGAATGGATTTGTTTTGTCTTTGTTTAGTGTTTTCACTTTTCAGTACTTTGTTTTGAACTTTATCTGTATTTAATATTTTCAGTACTTCGTTTTGAAGTTTGAACAATTGAACTTTTGACTTGAGTTAATCCTATGTCACCTTTTTAATATGGCTTCTTTCAATTTTTATGTAGCTTATTTATTAATATACTGCATTAATGCTTAAATTTTTATATATGTAACCTGTATATTTCAACTGCTACATGACTCCTGCTATTTGCCCACAAAGCTATCCGCTATTGGCAACCCTATTCCTAGCCAACGTGGGACATCTATTATTAAAACTTTGAACCTTTTGATCTTTTTCATTTTGATGTATGGGGGGCAGTTCCTATTTTTAATATATCTAATGCTAAGTGGTTTGTCTCCTTTATTGATGACTATACATGTGTTTCTTGGATATATTTGATGAAGGACAAATCTGAGGTTGTTCAACTGTTCTTGAACTTACATCACATGGTTCAAACTCAGTTTTAAAGGTCAACAAAATGCCTACAGTCTAAAAAAGGAAAAGAATACGTCAACACAAAGATAATGATGTTACACTTGTATAAATAAATACTCAACCATAGTGAACAAGAAAAAAACATATGCCAGAGCACACTCCATGTAGCCTTCTTGATACTTTATGATACACTAATTTTAACCCTCAATAGACACATACCTTATTGTGAAATCCACTGTCAGTAAAATTAATCAACTGCAAAACACATGCTGAAATCTCCGCATCAAGTACCTCATGTGATTCTCCACTGTAGTATACAAAAAAAAAAAAAAAGACAACTTAACACTTTATAGTACAAAAGTGCTGATTTTCCTCCAATGGTTAAAGCAATTACCTAAACCCAGAAATCTGTTTTGTTTTGAGAATTGCAGCAACTATGTGTGTGAACCAAGCAAGTTTCGATTCGGTTACAGAGAGTTCATAACTATCCACATGGATTTCCTTCTACACATAAAATTAATGTATATTACAGAAGCAGAATATTTTATTAAAATGGTATAACAAATTTGACACACTTCACAAATAACTACACAATAATACCATATAGGTTTGCATGATAGGCTCGACTATCTTCATTAAATATGAACTGCAACTTTCATACTGAAATTGAATGAATCAATACAGATGTTAAAACATGAACATAATCACTAAATATGAAGTTCATGAACATAATCATGAACTACAACTTCATGATAACATGTAACTCTTTATACAACAGCAGAAGCATCAAAAAGCATGAACCTGAAATCTACAGAGGTATGGAAAAAATTCAAGCTGATCTTGAAGTACTTCAACATTGTCAAGTGGGTTTTCACCAAGTTCATCTGATAGTTCAGACTGCAGTAAATAGATGATTAAAACTTCAATCAAGATTAAATACTTGACTCACTTATGTTATACATGTGAGTATAGTGTTAAAGAATCTGACCTGCAACGAATCAAATCTTGATGATACAAAACCTTCTATAACTTTAGGAACATATTCATCAAGTAGGTTAGGTTTGTCACTCTTGAAATACCGCACAGACGTCACTGATCTAGACCACAAATTTAGAAGGTAGTAAACACTGCTGCCAGCCCACTGAAAGAAGAACCACATATTTAATATCCAGCCAATTTTTCCAACGTAGAATGAATAATGAATCCTACTACAGTCAGAAAGCAGGAAAAAGATGAAAAAGAACACACACACATAGATACATGCATACATAAGTATAGATGAATCTCCAATCACTATGAATATATGACATACGGATCCAGTCATTCACTAAACAAAATGTATAGTACTTTTAGGGAACATATTAAATGTCTTACACATACCTTCCAAGATTGCAAAGATTTTAATGTAAACTCCGCTACTAAGCGTATCCATTCACTATAGCCTTCCGCATTCACAAGTTCTGATAACTACAGTAGAAATCAAAGTGGGAGGATAATAAGAGATTGCTTTCACTAACCAAGATAAGTAACACCATCACAATTTCATGACCAAGAGGGAGGATAAATTAAAGTGAACTAAATCAAGCAAGAGAGAATAGGACTTGTGCAGTAAAGGGAAAACAGGTTACGATGGTTCCCCTATACCTTTAGATCCAGACCAGGAAAGATATTTTTAGAAAATATAGGTATAGAAAAACCCAACACAGAAAAGAATAAGATTCCCTCAAACTAGAAAAATGCAGCTAAGCATTGAACAAAGCACTCAAATCATAAACACAATTTATCCACAACAAATCAAAGGGATAAAAAAGAGGACACCTATGCAAGCATTCTGCTTCAATCTGAAATCAAACATTCACTAGAAGTTTCAATGCAAGTATAGAATAAAGTTCCAAGTTAAATTAAGACCATAGATAAAGAAAAATTATAATGGTGAGTTATGCAAAATAGAGAGATAATTATGCAAAATCATTTAGAGATAAAGGAACAATTGCAAAATATATTCGACAGAGAAATGTTGCTTGTCTTATTGAATGATCAAAAGGAAAATCCAGGAATGATCTTCCTGTCCACAGAGCAAGGCTCCTAACAGAGCGCTATAGCTCTCTATCCTTTTCCAAGATACCTTCTCTCCTCACTCCATCCCAATATAACAGAAAATCACTCAAAACCACCCAGGGCCCACACCAAACACACTACATCCCCTGCCACATCATCAATCCCTATTCTTCTCATTCCTTCTCACATATACCCTCCAAATGGTTGGCCTATTAGATTGTTGCTGCACCAAATTAGCACTTGGGCCCATTGACTGCACTGAATCTCCAACAGAAAACATATCCTGGAATTATCACTAGGTTGACATAAAAAATAATCAAAATTACTTTGTGCCACATAACGAAGCAATCTCTAGTCATAAGTCCATGCACAGATGCACTTCATCTTAGAGTTCATCAATCATAGGGATAGGGAACTTATCCAGAATAGTTACTTTTTTTAGAGCGCAATAATCAACACACATCCTCCATGAATCATCTTTCTTAACTAAAATAACAGGGCTAGAAAAAGCGCTTTGGCTGTGTCTTATCAATCCTTGCTGCAGCAAGCCCCAAACCTGTTTCTCTACCTCATTCTTATGATGGTGAGGATATTAATATGGCCGCACGTTAATCAGACCTTGCACTTCTAATAAATTGACAGCATGTTCCTTGCTCCTCTTTGGAGGCAACCTCTTCAACTCTCTAAAGATGATTAGCTCTCCTATTGTGTTTTGATTTGGGCAGAATTGCAGTAGAGAGCATTAGCTCTCCCACTTGTGGAATGGAAGACTCTACAATACTCTAGAAAGGGGCATTTTGTACGGCCTGCTTACTGCAGCCCCAAACCTTGACTCTTCTTTTGTTCCACAGGAACTCCATCACTTGTTTGCTCCAATCAATTGTCATAGGTCCCAGAATGGACAGCCAAGACATGCCCAAAACTAACTCAATGCCTTCCAATTCAAAGAGAAGAGCATCAATTAAAAATTGGGTCTCCTCCAGCTCCAATTCCAGCCCCTTGGGATGAAGACAAGGTCAAAGCATCTTAGGACGTAGATAGGAGCCAAGGTGTGCCTATGACAAAATAAGGGCCAGACATGACCACTACCCCTCCCCCCAAATGTTATGCTGGCAATAGAGAAGATAGTCAATCAGTCATTGATAGTTGAAACTTGAAAAAAAAAAACAAAACAAAACAAAACTAAATAGTGAAAATGGCAGAGGCAATGAGGACTGGGCTTGACAAGAGAAAGTGATAGCAGCGACAGCAATATGAGGTCAATTAAGTCCAAGACTCTAAAACCAGTTAGGATGGGTCACTAGATGCATCAAAGGTCACAGGTTAACCAAAAAAAAGGAGTTGAAAACCACCACACTGGCACTGTAGTGGCAAAAAGGCACATCACTGAGGATGGAAAAAATAAATGAGTGCAGATCAAGGGAAAGGACCTCCTACAAGCAGAGTGCAGCAATCGCAGATAAGTAAGTAGAACTACTGAAAGTTGAAGAAAGGTGATAATAAAACACATCAAGCAAACAAATTCCATATTTGGAACTTGACAGCATGGTGGATTGGTTGTCAAACTCTTTAAGTTGACTTGTATACCTGTAGTTCTTAACAAGAAAACCTATAGTAAACTACAAGCAAAATCCAGCAAAGGTTCAAAAACAACCTTATCATATCAGAGCATTGAGGATAAAAAAATTACTTGTCCCCAGAATAGGTATTTAGGATATCCAAACACAAGCCCCTCTCTTACCTACCCATAATTCACAGAACTTGCAAAATTATGATATTCATACTAAAGTTTTAAAACCTGAAGTTTACATCATATGTACAGTTTATCAAATGAAAGGTACCATAGAAAACATGTGCACACTCAACAAGAAATGTTAGAAATAAAACTGATAATCTATCACAAGTCAAACCCCATGCATATTGAGGTGGTGGTCCTAGAAAACAAAGACACATCTACAGTGAATTGAAATGTGTATATATTATGCAAAATACAAAAAAGGCATACACCTTACCTGATAGTTTATTTTAAATCGACCAAGTAGACGACAAAAGGCATGATAGTTATCATGATCAGCAAGACCTGCAATATAATGAAATCACAGCATTAAAGGCCTTCTAAATAATATGTATTTACAATGAATGCAATTGCAAAATTTAGCAACAGTCAATAAATGACTATAACTCCAACTACAGTCCCATAGCTGATCCCAAGCTCGGATAAAAAGAGGAAGATTATGTTGGGCCCTCAGCAACCAACATAAAACTTGTCAAAACCTATACATGGATCACTCACAATGATATTGTGCTAGGGATAATAATCAATAGCACACAATAGCAGCACTATCACCGAAGAGGGGAGTGGAGCGGCTCCTTGCCATGATTCAAAGCTCATTGTGACATGGTTTTGAGTAGCCATCATTGTGGCCACGAAAGAGAAAATTGCAGCCATAGCAACCGCTATATCTTGCAAGGGAAAAATTGAAGTTTACCCTCCCTTTCTAAACATTAGAATGCTTTAAAGGGGGCAATCTTGGGGCCTATTTGGTTTCTGAAAATTTTTTCTACTTTTAATTTTTGATTCACTTCTAATTACAAAACTGCCATCTTGTATTCATTTTGTTTCCTGTTTTCTAAGATTTGTACAGGGAAAAAAAAATTCCTGAAACCAATCAGTCCCTTCGGATTTCACCCCCTTTCTCCCTTGTTTCTATGCAGTATTGCTCATAGCCTTGAAATCAAACACCCTTTGTCCTCCATATCCAACAAATTCTCCTTCGTCCCACACACTTCTAGTAGGTGACATCATTTTCTGGTTCGTCACCATTTCCAGCCATGTTCCAGTCATATTCATCTCCAGTGAAACACATTGATTTCTGACATGATCCATCTGCATGAGGAGCTGTTTTCCATTGCTGATCACCAAGGTAGTCAGAATCGCGTGCCGGAACGATTTTACAATCTCCAACCCCCTCTCTGTGCCAGCTTAGTGCCAGAATCGTGATTTAGCAAGATTGAGTGGGATCGCCGTGCTAGAACGTAAAACAAGTAAGCTTCGACGATCCCCTATGTTTTCAAACCCAATTTTTAACCTAATGACCCGTGACCCACTTTGTGACCCGGTTTGCTTGAAACCCTAAAATTGATTTCATTCTACGATCCCTATAGCTTTTGCTCTGATGAATGTGTCTACTCCAGCAACCTTGTCAAAGCGGAGCATTTTGCTGTGGTGGCCATCCCAGCTGTATTTGCAGCCATTGTAGCCTCATTTGCAGTGCAACAGTGACGCTGGAGTATAAGTCATCCACTTTCCTTTTCTATCCCCAGAATGAAGCAAAATTTAGAGTTTTTTAAGGGTATAAAAGATTTCTTATCTTTTAAAAATAATCTGACTTTCCCTTTTTGCCCTTAAAATAATTCTGTTTTAAGTCTTTTTTAAGGGTAAAATAGTCTTTCCATCAGAATACCTTACCTAGTCCATCTTTTCCTTCTCTTTTCTATCTCTGTTTCTAGTGAGTACGTCCCTGTCTCTGGTTTGAATTGAGGGTGGCTCCCTTCCCTCATTTGTCTTTGTTTAGCTTCCCCATCTTTATATTTATACTATTTTAAATGCATTTATACAAATTTGAAGGATCTTACAATCCTTGTTACGAGTTACGATCTTTCATCCTCTCTCTGATCCTACATAAAATCTCGATTTTGACTACCATGCTGTTCACAATTTCCAGTTAAGTTCCACCCGTTTTCCAGCAATACCCAGACATTATCTAGGGAGACATCTACGTTAGAGCCTTTCTCTGAAGAAAGACCACTCTATTTACTGTTTTCCTTCCCTGCTTTGTTTTTCTTCTTTGTTTTTATCTATTCTTCTTCTCTGAACCCCTCCAAATTATGCATGCAATAAGTAATTTTGTTTCTTATGATAAACTATCCACAAGGTTACAATCTTTCGTGAAAAGTGTTGCTCTTGAAAAAATTCCTAACTATTTTGAGGCAGCAGAGAAGGAAGAACGGAGGACTGCCATCCAAGAGGAGTTAACTACGCTTGAGAAAAATAAAACATGGGACATCGTTGATCTTCCACCTGGCAAGACCCTTGTAGGATGTAAGTCGATCTTCACAGTGAAGTACAATTATGATGGTAGCATCAACCGTTACAAGGCTAGACTAGTAGCTAAAGGGTTTACACAAACCAATGGAATTGATTTTCAGGTGTGGAGGAGGAGTACATAGATGCAGATTGGGCAGGCTCTGATTGATAGAAGATCCACCACAGGCTACTGCACATTTGTGTGGGGGCAACTTGGTAACTTGGAAAAGCAAAAACAACCTGTTGTTGCTAGGAGTAGTGCTGAAGCAGAATTTCATGCTTTAGCACTGGGGATATGTGAAGGAATGTGGATATTAAGAGTAAGACTTCTGAAAGAGTTACACATTAGCATTGACTCACCCATGAGGGTATTATGTGATAACATGGCAACCATTGGGATAGTGAAGAATCCTATTCATCATGATAGGACAAAACACATTGAGATTGATAGGCATTTCATTAAGGAGAAAATTAAATCAAATATTATTGATCTCAACCATGTATCCACAGGTTATCAAATAGCTGACATGCTAACTAAGGAGCCCGGACCAAATTTGAAGAGTGAAGTCACAAAGCTGGGAATGATTAACATATATTCCCCAGCTTGAGGGGGTGTGTTGTTAGTCACATGTTTATAAGTTTTTCCTAAATATCTTATTTCCTTATTTAGTTTATTAGGTTCCTTATTGAGTTGATTGGTTCTATCTGTCATTTAAAGGAAAAAAAATATTTCATTTCCTAAAATAGATGATTTAGTCTTATTATCTTTAATTCCTTCTTTTATGGGATTTGATTGGTCAAAGCTTTGTGGCCAACACCCTTTAAATTGTAAGCTTTCTGCACCCTTAAAGTTGTGAGAAAATAAAATTCATTTTTCAACCATTATCCATATCTATACACACACACCAGACTACAAACTAGGAGCTACCTAAATTGAAGGATGCAAAGAACAGTCCCAACCTCTATAGTGACTAAAACTGTTTGAGGATAGTATTAATCGTTCACATTTCTTTCAATACCTTAGCTGACCTCACCTAGTGGGATAAGGCTTGATTTTTGTTGTTGTATTTCTTTCAATACCTTATTAGCATAGCCTTCCAAGACTAGAGAGAAATTAGTCAACTAATGCTCCTAGGCCTTAAACTACACTGCTACCTGAGAAACACAAAAAGTCAAAAACACTATGGGATAGTTTGGGAGTGATTTTGGAGGGAAAAGGAAGGGAGGACACATTTTTTAATTTTAAATTAAAAAAATTATATATCATATCATTTAAGAAAATAAATACATGATTAATACATTAAGTTAATGTTAATATATCATTTTATTTCTTTTATTTAAAAAAAATATTAATTTAAAATCATAAAAATTTGCCTCCCCTCCCCTTCCCACACAATTCCTAAGTTGCAGCCAAATAACTAAAATCCAGTTTACCTATTCCCATTTGCAAAATTTCTTTCGTTCCCTGCATTAAGTGTGACAAAAACTTCATTCGAGCAGTATCATTGGAAAACAAAGATCGTCTAGTTGAAGCAAGACGCAACAAGCACTCCAATGCCTGCAAATAATATAAATAATGAGAAAACGTCATAACATGTAGAGGTGAGACAAATAAATAGATCACCAATGGAAGCTAGGCAATAGACAAAATGGATCAGAAATTTTCTTTGCATACCTATTGAATAAAATGACTACCATATTGTAATTAACAATTTTGCCATCATAATAGGAATTCAGATTCTAGAAATAAAGGATCTGGGGCAAATAAAATTCATAAATGCTACATACATTTTATCTTTAAGTTCAAAAAGTAATTGGATAAGATATAAAATAAAAGGACAACAGTCAAATAGTATATCCATTGATCATATAATACCATTCCACACAGAAAAAGCTCAAACAATAAAAAGCGTATAATAACAACAGTGTTAACAATATCTTTAATTTTAAACAAGACCACAAACATGTAACAGTTATATATGTAAAGGAGAACAATCCATGGATAGTAGTGATGGCAATAACAATTTTAGGTATCAAAATCAGAAGCAAAATAAAGGGAAATCATCAGGCAACCAAGAACAAACTCCAATACGATATGACATTATAGACACCACTCTGCAAACTTGTATGTCATTTTAGACATTTTGGGAAGATAAAATCACTTCTTTAAACGAGAAAGTTAAGCAAACACCTTTGTAAGAGAAACTTCAGTGGGAGTTGCTTGAAAATAAGCAGCTGTTGCATAGTGAAGGTCGCATTAAAAAAGAGAGTTGCCCATACAAGAAACTATTGCATATTAGAAAATGGGACTCACATACACACACATATATGGGAATTTGAACTGAGAGAAAGCTTCACAACTCTTTTCAAGTCACAGGAATAAAAATCCTCTAATGAAGCTAAGGACACATTACATAGGCGGAGGGAATAAAGCAATGGAACAAAGAGAAAAAAATACACTTGGCCACAAAGTGTACACTTCTTGTGACAGACAAGTTTACTGCATTCAAATAAAAATAATCATCGAAAAGAATATAGGAAGAAATCAAGCAGAAAATAAAGCTTTAGGCACCATATATTAAAAGTCTAATCAAGTGAGAGGAGGGAGATACAGATACAGAACAAGATTGAATAAGATAAATTTCTCTTTTATTTTTTCTGTTAAATATATTATATAATGCACAAAAACAAGTCATCAGATATCCACATGACTTCACATATTTAACATGAAAAAGAATGAACTAGTGGCAGAAAGGTGTAGTGAAATAAAGGTAAAAGCCAAATGCACATTTATTCCTATTCACCTTCAATTCATTTTCTATCAAAACCTGTAAGACTTGCTTCAAATGAGAATTGTGGGTTTCCAAATCATTGTTGTATTCTAAAATGTCATTGAAGAAGACAAGAACAATTTTTCTAGAAATGTTGACTTTTGAGCACTTCATTCGTAAGTGCCTATAAAAGGTGGATGGTGCACTGGTCAATCACATGGACATCACAAGGAATTCCTAGTGCACTTCAGGGGTTTTAAATGAATTCATCTCAGTGTCTTCTTCCCTCATCTCAATTTGATGGTATAATTTCATGTCCAGCTTTGAAAACACTTCACCCCTCTTAATTCATCTAACAATTCCTCAATGCCAGGAATCTCAAATTTATTTGGTACTGTAATTTTATTCAAGGCTGTATCATCAACACAAAAACTCCATCCTTCTTTTTTACTAGAATAATTGGGCTTAAATAAGGACTAACATAGGGTCTAATAATACCAGCAGAGAGTATCTCATTGATCAACTTCTCAATCTCAGATTTTTAATAATGGGAATATCTATATGGTCTCAAGTTAAGAATGCCTTTATGGGAAAAGCATTATCATGTCTACTCCTTAGGGGTAATACTTCTGAGCTTTTGAAATAATTTCAAACTCTGATAAAACACTAGCCCCAGCCTCTGGTATAGGATCACAAGTTCACCACTACTGGAATCTTCAGTCAATAGAACTGCAGCCTACTATAAATCCTTGGCCCTCCTCCAGTTAAGAGTTTTCAACACAGATTTAAGAGAGACTGCTGACCCGATTAATTCTGGTTTCCCTAGCAGAATTTTATCTTCCCAGTCTACCTTAATTTTCATAGTTCTTCACAAATTGCTCTTATAGCCCAGCCCAGCCAACCAATCCAACCCCAAAACAACATCAGCACCCCCAAGTTGGATCCAGCAGTTCAACACACTTAGGAGAGTCCAAGGCCTCTTTAATTTCTCTGGAGTATTGTCATCTTGTATTCTCTTTTCAGGCTATACTCACACTGAGTCAAACCTGAAAGATTGTCCCATCCAATAAAGATTCATTCTCTCTTTTTAAGAGAACAAATGAAACATATTCCCCTAAGAACATCATTCCCAATGACCTCATTCTATTACATATTATCAAGTAATCATATGCAACAAAGAAAGGTCCTTAAATCTCAAAAAAATTCTTTCTTTATATACAAAATCAAAGGAAAAGAAATAACCCTAGTTTGAGAAGACAAATATTAATTACTTGATAAATCAAACTAAATGAAGCACTGGATACAATTTATTACGAAAAGTTCAGAAAGCATTAACTCTCCCATCAAATCAAATCAAATAAATTAACATAAACAAACCTCTTTTGAAAACGTTTGATTCATTGCATAATAATCAAAAAAGATTTGCAGTGTTGAGGAATCCTCAAGGGAAGGCTTCCAACAAGATGGAACCTGTACAACCAACACTAATTCCAAATCAAGAACTGCAAACTAGACAAAAGCAAAGAACAACCATCCATGCACACAGGAACATACCTGAACAGTACCAATCTCATCTGAACTTTCATCATATGATGTCCCCATAAAATCAAATGATAAACAACTAAGGGAAAGTAAAAGAGACAGTTCCTGCAACTTGCTCCCAACTGCAAATTATATATAAACAAAGAACTTTACTAAATTCAAAACATGACATCAGTTTAGAACATTGAGAATGGATGTATACATCTATCATTGTAATAACCAAAATTTGATATACCATCAGTTTTTAACTGGAAGAGTGAAGTTAATGATATCTGGAATATCTCAAAAAGTGACCGATCCCTGAAAGAGCTTGCTATCCTCCGTTGACGAATAGCAGGTAATCCAGGATTGTGCTGGAAATATAGAAAATAGAAACATACAAGTAACAACAACAAAATCATCATCAATATAATCATTAAGAAGTCCAGAACAAATATAATATGTAGCTGGTTATTGAAGTAACACTTCAAATATAGATCCATCAGATTCAAAGAGCAAAGGTGTCCAAACCTAAAAATTGATAGAAGAACCAAAACCTAAAAAATACTAAACAATCTGTATTGCTGAATCTGTGAAGAGCTATAAACAACCATTTCATGACTTAAAAGTAATAACCTAATGGGATTCTAGCATCATTTTGCTCCTAATTCTTTGTCAGCAAAACAAATAGTACAATTTCAATGTCTTACAAAAGAACACATACACCAAGAGTCCAGAATTTATAGAATATTCTTTAGTGCAAATAATTTTCCATTTGGCGATGAAGGAACCCGTTCCAACAAGAAGATAGAAAGATCACTTCAGAAGAAGTAAAACAAGGAAAATATTTAAAAACATTGTTCCATAAGTAGTTCAGTGTCATATCATCACTCTAATATGCATCATGTTCGCTCTATATGCATTTGCCATGGGATGCCAAACAAGTGGTGGATAGTGGATCACAATGAGGACCTACTTCAGGGATTCATAGGTACTAACCCTATCATAGTTGTCAATAGCGCCCGATTGCAGTGCGATAGCGGGGGTACGTGGCGGACCTTCGGCCGCTCCAGATCTGGCATAGCAGTGTTTTTTTTTTTGTCGCGGCCATCGCAACCAATAGCAGCTGTATTTCCAGCCCAAAATGCAGCCATTCATGGTGTAATAGTGCCATCACAGGGAAGGATATTAACTTTCCTTTTCAACCCTCAAAGTGAAGGAATTTTAGGGTTTTTTAAGGGTAAAAAAGACTTTTAATATTTAAGAAATAAGCTGATTTTCCCTTTTTACCCTTATGATGACACAATCTTTAGGTTTTTTAAGGGCAAAATAGTCTTCTCACTTTTCAAACCTAACCCCACTTTTCCCTGGGCTTTTTTCTCCCTTTCTCTCTTCGACACCCCTTCCTCTCATCTGTATTGTTCTTCTGCTTTGCAACCCCACTTTTTCTGCATAATTTTTCTTCTCTGCTTTCTCTATTAGACACTCCCTCACATGAGTCGCTCATTTAGGACGACTTCTTTGGCAAAAGCCACTTCCTTTCTTTTCTCTATTCTATGATTCCATAGCCCCTCAACTCTCTCCTCAGCTCTAGAATTCTACAAAAGAGTTGGTAGTTCTATCCATAGTTATCAATAGTGGCCGCTATCGCGGCAAAGCAATGCAGTCTCCTATGGCGACCCTCTAGCGCGGCAGCTGTCGCGCTGCAAACAGCGGCCAGAAATTGCGGAAATCGCCACTATAGCGGCTGCTATGCTGTCATTGAAAATTCCGAATCTGCCCTTTGTTTTTTAACATTGGGGGCTTTTAAGAGGAGGTAATCTTGGGATTTCGCCCCCCACTTTATTTTCTAAATCTTCTCCCTCCCTCCCTCTCACAAACCCTAGCCCCTCAACTCCTCAGCTCTCCTCTCATTTCTCCTTTCATTTCCTCTCTCTGTTTTCTCTATTTCCACCACGGGAGTGTGACCTTCATCTCCGGCGAGGTTTCTAACAAAAAAAAGACATTTTTCGGTCATCTTCTTTGTGTCCGGTGAAGCCTCTAATGCAATCAAGATTACTAAGTCATTTTCTTCATCTCTTGTCATTTTCTTCAAGGTCAGCGAAGCTTCCGACATCACTCAAACATCTAAGCATTAGAAACTTAAATTTATTTAGTTCTTATATTTTGTTGTTACTTGTTATTGGCATATGACATGTGTTATGTTTTTAAACTTTTACTTTTAATCATTAATATTGCATATGTTTTTAAGTTGGGTCTTAAATTTATATTTTTCAGCATATATATGTGTGTAACTTAATTTATACGGGTATATTTATAATGCCTAAAATAGTGATCATCTTGCTATCCCTTTATAGCAATTTTGGGGTCAGCTGCTCTGCGCCGCTATCCAAGATTAACTACGAACCCTATAACAGTAATATGAGGCTAATATTGACAACTCATAATATTTTGACACCCTTTGTTAATGAGTCCCACATAAAAGTATAAAATTCTGGATAGCAGATCATAAAGCCGCTGCTAAACCAAGTATAACAAATACAATGCAAATAAATAATTCCTAATACACACATAATAAAACCTCAAAACTTTAAAGTACTCAAATGTCAAAACTAAATACATATTCATCAGTAATACCTCAAAATCATACTTTAAAGATAATATCATCATTAACTTAAGGCAAAACTGATAATAAGTTACAACAACAAAAACCATAACAAAATAAAAGTACAAAGCTAAAAAGTGTGAAACAGTGGTTGTATGAGGGTTAAGTGATAAACAGGCTACAGCAAGAGCACTGCTTCTTAGTATAATAAGTTATTAAATAATACACTTTTCTATTTAAACATAAGATATTGACTCTGACCTGATTTATCTCAGAAACTAGCTGATTCAATATCTTCAAACCTATAGCATAATGATATTGTGCCTGCAAAGAAAGCAATACATTGTAAGGTTAAAATTCAAAGCAACCAGAAGTGTAATACAAAAGGAAATACTAAAAATTATAGGGAAAACAAAACAAAACAAACCGGAGAACAGAACAAAAACAATGCATAATAAAAACACTACAAATCCCAGATCATAATATGGCAATAACAAAGACGGAACTAGAGAATGTATGTCCAAGATTCAGTAAATGTTCGAGCATGGTGGCAGTTCATAGAACTTGCATTGTCAATCAATAGTTTTGGGTTACACTAACCTACTCCTAACATGCCTTCATACCCCCAAATAAAAGATTATATATTTAAAAACTATACTAAAAATAAGATTTAGTATAGTTTGGGAAACAATCCAATCCCCCTAAACTTTTTTCTTTCAAGAGCAGACCACCAAACTCCTTCATAATGCCAAGACAATTACAGGACATGATACAGAGATAAGAGAAGGAAAAAAAACTATGTGATAGGTTCACAAGAGTGTACAATAGAAAAAGAGGAAGGGAATAGGCGGAAAATTCAATAATTAGCTGTTTTAGAGGTTATGACAGCTGTAATTTTGAATTAGTTACTGTTATAAATAGTCATATGATAGATTATTGGTTCGTTTTTGTAATTGGTAATTGGAAAGGCAGGGAGAGTGGGGTTCTTTCAAATAACTCTGGTGGTAATCAGTTGTAATTCCTTCACCCAATTCAAAAGCACTGTCACTTTAGTACTAGTTTGGGAATTAGGATTTTCTTAGTAAAATTCAGAAGTTCTTTTCACTAATTCTATACAGTTCAATCAACAGGTATCAAAGCACCGATCTTGGTACAGTGGTGAAGCAAGATTCTATGGTGAATACAAGAATGGAATCAAGGATTGAGATCTTGGAGCGAACACTACAGGAGACGAATTGCGAAAGCGAGCATCAAGACAATGTGCAACATCAGCACTTCCAAAAACTTGAAGATCGGATTTGGTAGGAAGATTGTGACAAGGAAAGAAACAAGATTGAGTCAGATGCTGATGACGTTGGATCGAACGGGGGGGTCAAAGAGCGAATGACTGCAACAAAACCACAATTCTTGACAACGAAAACTCAATATACCCATTTTCATTGGGGAGGAGGCATATGGATGGACAAACATTGTAGAGATATTTTTGTTTGAAAAGGGTAAGAAAGGAAGAATGGATGCAAGTGGTGGTGTTAGCATTGGATAAAAAGGCTTTGAACTAGTTTCAATGGTTGGAATCTTGTAATTCGATGAAAAGGCTTTGAACTAGTTTCAATGGTCGGAATCTTGTAACTCGAATCCCACATGGAAGTCGTTCATAATTTCACTGGTAAGGTGGTTCCAACCAACTATGATGAAAAATCTTGTCAAAATTCTAATCAGGTTGACACAAAAAGGTACCGTGGGGGATTACATCGAACAATTTGATTGAAGGGAATGGAACAAGATTATTTGGTGCGAATATTTTTAAATGGATTAAAGGATGACATAAAGGCAGAAGTAAAGCTACATGAACTAAACAAGTTAGCAGATTTGATGACAAAGGCTCAAGTGGTTGAAGAGAAAATTCAAAAAATGGTTAAAGTGGGGACACAACCGGGGAATAAAGCTATTAGCCTATACAGACCCTATTCTGCGACTAGAAGTTATTCTACACATTTGGAGTACCCAACATCAATAGTTGTTAATAATACAAAAAGGGAGAAATTCCAGAAACATTGAGCAACAAGGGTAGTAATAATATCGGGGAAATTGAAGTAGGGGTGCAACATTCAAGAAATTATTTGATGAAGAAATGAAAGAAAAGATGCAAAAGGGGTTAAGTTTTTGTTGTGATGACAAGTTTGGGTCCAACATTGTGTGCAGAAATAAACAATTACACATGTTGTAGATAGAAGAGAAGACACCATGGGAACCTGAGGAGATGATGGAGGGGGAAAAAAAGATGATGGGAAGGGAAGCAAGAGAGTTATGCAGCTATCTATGTTCACCATGACAAGTCCTAGTTCCAAAAATTCTTGGAAGGTATGGGGAAGAATAGGGAAGGAGAAAGTAGTAGTCTTAATAGATTGTTGAGCCTCTCACAATTTTATCTATGAGAAATTGCTACTAAAATGCCAATTAGAGAGGGAAGATACTCCCCCATATGTGGTGGAGGTTGGAGATGGGCACAGGGTAAAATGTCAAGGAGTATGCAGGAAATTTATACTAGAATTGCAAGGAATAAAGATACAACAACAGTTTTATATTTGATTTGGGAGGGGCTGATGTAGTTTTGGGACTACAATGGTTAGCTAGTTTGGGGGAGGTCAAGGCGGACTTTGGGCAGCTGAAGCTAACTATTGGAAATAGCAGTACAAAGCAGGCTTTGTTAGGGGATCCAACCTTGTTTAAGACTAAAGTATCATTGAAAATGATGATGAATGAGCTGAAAGAAGGAGCAAGGTAGTTAGTAAAATGGGTGCAAGAAAAAGAGAATACATTTTCTCCATTTATAGCAGAGGTGCCAGAACTCGGAAGAAATCTTTTTAGACCCACAAGGATTACCCCCAAGCAGAAAACATAATCATGTCATCCATCTAAAGGAAGGAGCTAAAATTAGAAGACCAAGATTAAAATATTAGTGAATGACCTTCCGAAAGCAGGACTTATTAGACCCAGCATTAATCCCTATTCAAGTATGTTGGAATTATGTCATTATAGTAATATTTTAAATAGGAAAATTAGTATCTTTGTAATTATAGTAATTTCTTATTCTGTATCAATAGTTCCTATTATAAATATATATTCTGGTGTTTAGTCAAAACAAGAATTCTTCCTATGTTTCTTGTTCACTTTTCTCAACATGGTATCAAAAGCTTAACAAGGAAGAAACCCTAATCCATCCTTTTCCTATGGGCCTATTGCTCAGCTAATTTTTTTTCAAAACCATGTCTCTCCGGTTTCTGATTTTTTCCAACCACCAATGTTCACATCGCCGGCAACTTTTCTGGCGTGCTTTTTTTTACATTGCAGACGACTTTTCCAGCCACCACTATTCACACCGCCGGCGTGTTTTGTTTTGACCAGCTTTCTCTCCTCTTGCATTGTCCCCGGCTGCTGTTTGTTTTGTCAGAGTCACTACAGGCTGCTGTCCTCTAATCTGTCCTTTATTCTTCAAATCCAAGTTACGGGTTCCTAACTTTTTGCATTTCTTGTCCTGTTTGGTGTTGTTCAAGGTGCACCATGGCCGCCTCTACCCATTCCTTCATCAAAATTCAGCAACCACCAGCACATGCTCCTTCACCCACATATAGTGACTTTCTTCAATGATTTGAGGAGCGTCAGACCTTTGGTCCCACTACTCCTGTTGTGCACACAAGTAATTCTTTTGTTAGTGTCTCTCCCTCTTCCTCCCTTGGACCATGGGTCCTTGATTCTGTAGCAACTGACCACTGACCACATCATTGGTAATAAATTCTTTTTCCACTGTTTCTACATCTGATTATTTACCCTCTATCACAACGGCTAATGGGTCCCAAACACAATCTCAGGGTATTGGTATTGTCTACCCTTTTCCTTCCCTCCCTATTGATAATGTTCTTTATGTTCCCAAATTCCCTTTTAACTTACTTTCCATTAGTCGTCTCACTAGTTCCCTTAATTGTATTATCTCTTTTACAAAAGATTTTGTTTACCTACAAGACCGGAGTTCAGAGAGGATGATTGGCACCAGATGTGAGTCTCATGGTCTCTACCATTTAAATGCTTCTACTCATGCTGGTTTGGTATTGATTCACTTCTTATTCATGCCCAGTTAGGACATCCTAGTTTAACCAAATTACAACACTTAGTATCAAGTCTTTCCAAGTTATCTATTTTGTCTTGTGAGCAGTGTTATCAATAGTGGATTGAGGAAAATTGCAAAAAAACGAAAAACTGCAATGACATATAGCGGATAGCGTTGCGGACAAATAGCAAAAGTCACATAGCGGTTGAAATATAACAAATTAAATAGTAAAGCAATATATGAATAAATAAGCTCCATAAAATTTAAAAGATGATAAACAAAAAAAGTGACATAGGATTGATTCAAGTCAAAAGTTCAATTGTTCAAACTTTAAAATAAAATACTGAAAACACTAAACAAAGACAAAACAAATTCATTCATTCAATCATTCTCATCCCCTTCTGTCCCTATATAATCATCATTCTCATTGTCAGATAGTGAGGCATATCCTTCAACTTCTTCTAAATCTTCAAAATCAATATCTTGATTGTCTTCTAATTCTTTTTCGGATTCTTCCAAGACTGCACTATCGTTAACTTCAACCATAAGCACTTTTCCATTTTTGGATGAAGATGCACTTGCCAAACCTTTCTTTGTCTTAGATGCAGCCCCAACAACATTAAGTGGTTCTTTTCCTTTCTAAAATCTTTGCCTAGTATATGTTATAGGCTCTCCAACTCCTGAAGCTCTATAAAAATCTTCCCAAATAAGGGTATTATCATTGTCATCCTCAAAGACCCTCCATTCCTAGCATCATCATCACCATCCATCTTTCCAACTAACCATTCATTACACTAATCAATATCATTGAGTGAGATTGGGTCAATCTCACCCCTAAAATTGTATCTTCTAAGCAATGCTCGATTATATTTGACATAAATTAAGTTATGTAGTCTTTTATGCTCAAGCCTATTCTTTTTCTTAGAATGTATCTGCAACAATAAGTTCAATAAAAATTAACAAAATTCTCCAAGTGACTAAGTATAGAAACTATTATCTACTAAGAAAATTGTTAATTAGTAAATTATTCGCTCAAACACACTCCAGTTGCGTTCACATCCTGATGCACTACATGTCAAGCTCAAGATCTTTATAGCCAATTGCTGTAAATTTGGAGTTGATAATCCGTACATTCGCCACCATTGTGCTATAAATCCAAATAAATATTTTGCAATAATGCATGTAATAAAGGTTACAATTTAGAAAAATAGAGAAAACT